AATTTATGGAGTGGGATTACTCCATTGGTCAAGGCAACATCAAAGGTTTGTTTCACCATGCTCCCTTTTGCGTTCAACTGGGTGATCCTAATCTCTGCCTGTGTAGTCTTGAGTCGAACCCTCTTTGTGGGCGGTGTCACGTAAGTCCTTGTCAATATTTATTGTTGCAGATTCTTGGCATCGAGAACTTACCAGTCAATAGCTCATCCGAAGCTCACCTTCGTTCTTTGTTCAGCAAGTTTGGTGTGGTTCAGACTTGCATTGTCAACATTGATAAGCGCCATGCTTTCATAAAAATGATCAGTCGTCAAGATGCTGTGAATGCCCGGGATGGAATGGAATCATATAAGTCTGGTGACATGCAGCTCAGAGTAAGTGCTCTCATTGTTATACAAGTGACCTGGCGTTTCCTGGCATTTCCACTAATCATCATCTCTCAGACTCGCTGGGGCGTCGGATTCGGACCCCGTGACTGCAGCGACTATCAAACCGGCATTAGTGTGATTCCCGTCGATCGACTAACCGAGGCGGATCGCAAATGGATGCTCACCGCAGAATACGGTGGCACGGGTGGGAGGCCAATTGAGTCTGGCATGGTCGTAGAGGAGCCGGACATTGAGATCGGTGCTGGTGTTTCCTCCAAAGGTATATCCCTACTCACTTCCAGATGACTCCCCGTCCCAGTCTTGACTAACCTCCCCCGATAGCGATCAGCAGAAGAATTGCCACCGATACTGGCGGCAAACGCGGCCCTGTCTCCTCCCGCGGGCAGCAGGATCGATTCCGGCGTCCAGACCGTGAAGGACCTCCAGCTGGAATGGGTGCGGGCCCTGTTCCAGACCGAGATGTCAACAATGCTAACAATGTCGGCGTTCCCCCTGCGGTGCCTGGCTTCGGTTTCTCTTTCCCCACGATGGGCATGTTCCCCCCTGGTTTCATGATGGGAGGACCACAAGCTGGACCGTCCGGTGGTGGTTCAGCACAACCTCCCCCTCCAGGTCAATGAGCCAATTAATTCTCTTGTGCAATGTCGAGAATAATGGCAGTGACTGCAGTGACGATGACCTACCTCCTGCTAGCCGTTTCATTTCACTCTTGTTTTGATACCAGTGCTTTTTTCACCTGTTTCCCATATTCCATTTTCACTTGGCTTTGTCTTGTACAATCAATTCGGCGTAGGAGCTTTTTCCATTTCGGTCATCAAAATGGGGGGGTTGAAACCACTTTCACTTGTCTCTGAGACCAGCCATTCACAATCTGAGATATTCCTGTATCTCAATGCAGAGCCTCGCCAATCCACAGAGCTTCTGATGGGAATTAAACCCTCGCTGTTACTATAGCATTCCGGACTTTACCATCAGCTTTTGTCATGGTGATTCTATGCTACCAACTGTTTCTCGCATTCCCATGTTTTTGTTGTCACAATCATCTGGATCAGACGGTTGGGTTTGGTGGTTATTATGTGCCTCGCACTATCCCGTTGTGTCCTTGACTTACATATTTCTCCATTATCGTCATCTTCTTCTTTCTCTTCGTCCTGCGAATGCTTATTCTTCTGGACTAGGCCTGTTCAAACCGGGTCAATGAATTATTCATAAGGGATCGTGCAGAAGTAAGCTCATAGGTACATTCTCTCCTCACGTAGCAAATAGCAATAGCTGGACTACAAGATTCCACTTTTAGCAGCGTACCACTTCTCCATACATGAATGCTTACTTGGGCAACTAAGTTGGGTTCTTATATCAGTCACATGTCGCGCTTTGGGGCTATCAGCCGCGAAGACATCAGTGCGGTGCCATTTGAGCTGACCCAGATCCAGTATCCTTCCCGATAGATAGTCTTCTCCCCTTGGTAGTTCATCGAACTCACGTCGAGCAAGATGTCCTCGCTCACAGTGCATTCGCGGCCTTGAAAGATTGCTCAAAATCCGCGATGATGTCGTCAATGTGCTCCGTACCAACAGAAATTCTGATGGCGTCTTCTGTGACCCCAGAGTCAATCCGCTCCTGCTCAGTAAGCTGTTCGTGAGTTGTCGACCAAGGATGAATAGCGAGGGTCTTTGAGTCCCCAACACTATCAGTAGTTGATTAGCCTAGGCTCTCTTTACCGGCTCAAGGACACGAGGGGCTTACTTTGCAAGGTTAGATATCATTTTGAAGCCGTCGACCACCTGACTACCAGCCGCAGCACCCCCCTTCACACCGAATGAAAGAACACCGCCAAATCCTCGGGGAAGGTAACGCTTGGCAGTCTCATGGCTAGGGTGGTCTTCGAGACCGGGATAAGAGACCCAGCTTACATTTTCGTTCTTTTTGAGCCATTTAGCCAGAGTTATGGCATTGGTTGCATGCCTTTCGCTACGCAAACTGAGGGTCTCAACCCCAAGGAGAAGCTGCTGCGCAGCGAAAGGATTCAGGGCTGGGCCAAGATCACGGAGGATCTCCACCCGCACACGAATGGCAAAAGCAATATTGCCAAAGGTCTCCCAAAACTTCAGGCCATGGTAGCCTTCGGAAGGCTCCACGAACTGAGGGAATCGCGCTGCATGCTTGCCCCAATCGAACTTACCACTGTCAACAACAACACCTGCAATAGTAGTTCCGTGGCCACCAATCCACTTAGTGGCACTGTGTACAACAATATCTGCGCCGTGCTCAATCGGACGACAGTAATAACCGCCGGCCCCGAAAGTGTTGTCGACCTCCATCTTCTCTGTTATCATAGTTAATTCGATATCTTGGCTTGAGATGACACTTACCACCAGCGGAACGCCCTTGCCATGGGCTACCTTCGCAATAGCTTCGAAGTCTGGTACATTGTAGCGTGGATTGCCGATGGTCTCAACATAGACAGCCTTGGTCCGATCGTCGATGGCTGCAGCAATTGCCGCTGGGGTGTCCCCTTGAATGAATTTGGTATGGATGCCTAGGCGTGGAAAGAGGACTTTGAACTGGTTGTACGTGCCACCATACAAATTGCTGGTTGCTACAATGTTATCACCTGCATGGGCAAGGGCTGCAATAGTCATGAATTGTGCTGCCTGACCAGATGCGGCTGCCACGGCTGCAGCGCCCCCTTCTAGAGCTGCAATTCGCTTCTCGAAGACATCAACCGTGGGCTGAGAAGGGCGGCGGCGTAGCCATCAGTGACTCCTCGTCCGTTTCCAACGGCGTAAGGGAAGATCGACTACTTACATTCATTATCCGGCTATAGATGTTGCCGAACTCCTTGAGACCAAATAGCCGAGCTCCATGAGCAGAATCATTGAACGAATATGACTATCGATGCTCTGTCAGGACTGAAATGAACGAGCAATGTTACGCAGGCACTAAACAGCTCGACTCACCGTAGTCGCGTAAATGGGCACCGCACGAGCGTTGGTGGTAGGGTCTGGCTCTTGACTAGCACATACACCATCAGTCTCCTTTCAAGCCCAATAGCTTGTTGGTCTAGTGTGGAGGTAGAGTTTCATATGGTACCCTGCATGGAGCTGGAGAGTCTCGAAGCGCGGCCGCTTGGACTCTGACATGGTGACCGGGATATGATCGATTGTGCAATTCCGAAAGTTTGTGAGGGAAAAGGCAGTGTAGCCAACCTTGCGAGGATGGGGGGCAAGCAAACAGCAGTAGAGAACGCCCTCGTTGGTAAAATGATTATCATTAGACTAGGTTCAACATTACCGATCGCCCTAATGGTATAGTTGATTGACAATAGCGATGGCGTGATCGGAATGGAGTACAGCAAGGCGGGGAAGGCGAGATCGATCTATGTACAATGTTTCCTGGGTACTCGTACAAAGAACGAACAAAACCCCCTCTCGCATTGACAAAAAGTCTGAGGACCTTAAAGAAGGCATGAGCTTGAGCCCTTCTTGAAGGATGGATGATGTGCAAAGGATAGTCATTTTTCAAAACTTCGAGACGAATCAATGTTGGTGATGCATACTGTACAGCAGGACATGGGGAATAGCTGATGTATGTACCATATAATAAAATTGACCTTAACTTGGATCAGATCCCAACATTTAGGTTTATTTAAGTATGAATAACAGGAAGGGGGTAGTAAACCTGGGGTGTAATGGTGTAATAGTGTAATAGTGTACGGAGTACTGTGCTGTGCTGAGTTTTATGCAGAATGGAAATTAGATATGCTATAGTTACTATGTACAGTTAGTTTCCTCTTTCTCGGAATATTAATACACTTGCAGCTTGAATGACTTTAGGCAACCACATGCTATGGTGGCTGTTGAGGCTTGGACAGTCAACTGGTGTGGTCATGTGCCCGGCAGATGTAGAAGGAAATGAGGTCATTGTCTGTTCAATCATGGATGGATGGATTGATTCTTGGCCCGCCTCCCTGTTGATTGCCGTCATCGAAAACAGCAGCCACCAATCCTTGTCGGCTCTGGTCTTTTCTTTTTCTTGCTCATTTTCACTTCTCTTTTCATTTTTTAATTTCATCCTCTTCCCCTTCATTTAGCATATCCCTTACTAGTCAATGTCGATTGATCCCAAACGATGATGACGATGATGATGTCGATGCGGTAAGGAGATCCGCTACCTACAATCCCCACCAAGCCCTTTGAAAAAATAAGAAAAGTAAAAATAAAAAGAAACACGTTGGATGCATGCTCCAGGGCTGTCAGCGGTGTATACAGGTAGAAGATCGAGTGAATCACAGCACCAACACCCAATCCCAGTGCTTCTTGGCGGACCTGGCCGGTGATTTGCCCTGTCAATTATATTTAGTTGTCAAGCCACTTGTGCAACCGCACTGATTTGAAACCACTATATCTGCATACAAATACACCTTTCTTCGTCTGCTACTTTTCTTGTCCCTCAGCATAACTGCATCCGAAGCCTATCTGTCTCTACTAGTACTTGCTATCCTAGACCAGTGGCTATAATTCATAAGAGCACACGGTATATCTTCACCAGACGCTGGCCCTAGACAACTTCACCCACCGAGCAACTTGACAGATAAACCATCCAACATCGACCATGGCGACAAATTTTCCTTGGGTTCTTCCTGTTCGAGTCGCTCAAGTCATTTTTGCTATTATAATTCTTGGGTTAACAGCATACTGTTGGTTCACCTCCACCTGACAGCATTCGGTCGTCTCTGACGGGTAACAGACATCAGTTGGTATAGCTACAGTGACACTGTGAATTTCATGCTTTTCAACGGCATATGGACAGCTTTTGTTGCCGTGCCTTATCTTGCCGTCGCACCAATGTACTTCCCACGGGTCACCCATATACTAATCATGGTGGCTGTCGAAGCAGTCACCATGATCTTCTGGTTCGCAGGGTTCATCGCCTTGGGGGTCTACCTACCACCATCAGAATTCTGTCACTGGAGTAGATGTCGGGCACTGCAGGCTGCAACCGTGTTTGGGGCATTTGAATGGTAGGTGGACACCCTTCTCGACAACTGCAACAACACCGACAAGGGTCGGAGGAGTAATCAATGAAACCCGCTCACAATCGCTTGGTAGGGCACTCTTCGTCGCCACCACTGTCGTAGCTACGCTCGAGGCGATGCGATCAAGATCCAACAGTGCGAGTACGAAGCCCGGCCCGTATGCTTCTGGCCATGTCAATGTTTAAACAACGGAAGTGGGGATCGATCAATTCACCTCTTAGCGAGGGCCTCATTTGCAGTCGCCAAGACTATCGATGCCACCCAAATCTTTTGGACGGGAGGATTGACGACGATATGAATTATACCGCTCATAGCTGAGAAGTGGAAGGAGTAATGAGTCAAGGGCGGCTACGCGGCGTTCATGTGCTGGGATTTGTATATCAGACTATGTAGCAAGATACCCATGTCTTAAATCAACCGAAGCCTTATAATCAGCCTTGACTCGTGTTCAAAATCATGGTTGTGGCAATTCCCACAAGCTTGTTTTCAATGACATCAATTGATCAATGAACATAACTTACATATAAGTTAGTTGCACATGCTTAGTTTAGCCATAGCCTGAACACCTATTTGAGCTTCGCCGTATCAATCGCTCTCGTAGCAAAGGTAAAATTAGAATTCTTTATCCGCTAGCTAGTCCTATGTACGTTTAACTACATTACAGTGGATGATCAACTTAAGCTTGGTGTTGACCCACTGAGGGGGGAAGTTTAAAACTGCCTCTATCATCTACATGCACTACTGTGTATGTAGTTGATGCATGCCAGATGTAGGAAGCCTCTTTTGGAAGTGACAGTTTGATCATACCCTCCAAGTACGGGGGCGAAATGTGAGGGATAAGTCTTCGAATGGCACGCAAGCGTCGCGGGTATCAAAGAAGATGGGAAAGGAAGATAATCTGTCATACGATGCACTTATCCAGCGGCGTGAGTGTCTGGGAGGGTAAATGACTGCAGCAGAGAGCCCTACCCGCGCCTGAACCTACTCAGAGTAGTAGTGATTGACTATGAGCTACTGTGTAAGTAAGTGGTGTAAGTATGAGTAGTTAACAAGTGCAAATAGTCAGAGACTTAGTAAAGTACATATGTATAACTAAGTATAGTACTCAGTACTATGTAGTAGTACTGTAGCTAGTATTGCCTACCTTTAGATGGTAATCGGCAAGTCACTACTCATGTATGTCTACAGTACACCTTGTTTTGTGCTAAAGCAACCATTCTGTGAGATGGTTACTGCGTACTACGTACTACATTGACTTATCACTTACACCGAATTTATCCCTTATCATGCTTTCATAAGTCACTTTACTAGGCAATCAAGTGAAAAACTAAGAACATTTCCCCATAGGGCTGGCTGGGCTGGGCACTGCCGACCTCGCATAGGTCCGTTCTCGGCGATAGTATGGTACGCAGTACCTATGAGTGAGACTAAGTGAGTATGCAAGGCGGTAAGAGCCAGAGGTCCTCCGTCACTTCTCCGTTCTCCGTTCTCCGTCCTAACCGTCCGGAAGTACTCAATACATCATACAACAGCTGCGTCTCTTGATTTGGTCTGTTTTTCATCGATTGCGACCCAGATAGAGATTACACCTTCTGATACGCCTCTTGAAGCAAGCATTCTTAGGTCGACTTCCAAAGCGGTCGGACATTTAACTATGCACTGTACTGTACGAGTAACACTATTGGCATCCCTCTCTGGCAGCCCTCTTCTCACCTTTCCCGCCCGCTCCCCTCGGGCCGATGACGGGAAAAGCCAGTGGCAACGCTGCAACAGCCGGTAAGCTTTACGAGAGAAAAAGAAGAAAAAACTCTGTCTCCAGCTGGCGATTATCTTTTCCAGGGCCCACACGGTGGAGCGGCACAGTTGCGAGGTAGGGTTTCCATTCGTTGCCTGGGCACAACCAGCGGTGCTCTATAGGACTATCAACCATGGATGGGGGAGCTGGAGGATGCTTTAGTGCGGCAAAGTGGCACCTCTTTTCCACGCTTGCGCCTCTTTCCCTCGTGCCTCTTCCAGTCCCAGTCGACTACTCCTGCGTTCTGCGCCCAAGTTCTAGACAGACGCAAAAGGCTTCCCCGGCTGCTGGTGGTGGCCAAGGACTGTCCAAGACCTCCAAGATGGATTTTCTCGGGGTAAGCCCAGGTCGAATGGTCGACGCAACGAATTGAGTACACACCTGTTGTCGTTTTCATTAGTGATACGTGCCTGTCATTGCCTCCTCTCATTGCGAAGAGTGCAGGTGGTGGATAGAGGCGGGAGACTCACCTCTTTTGCCCCCGGGGTTGCATCCGCTGCTGGACGACCCTAACCTATTCTTTTTACATAACATCTTCTGGTTTCGCGAAACACAATCCGATTATGTTCGCTATCTCGGCCAAAGTCGTCAATACATACCTGGTCTCTGGCCGATTGGGGCCCTGAGGGGTTGTTTTGATTTCATCTTAGCGTCTGTGGATTTTCTTCGGTGTGGTCCGACAACTGAGGAGCCCACCGTTAAAATCTGCTGGATCGACCCAGTCTTGAAGTGACTCAATCAAATCAAACCTGTCTTCCCCCTGGTGGAGTAGTCTGTCTAGGTGGCCGCCAGTTCATTTTTCTCCTCTTCTTCCCCTGCCAACTCCGAACCTAGTCTCATTTTTGCCTTTCGCGTGCTCTACTCATCTGACCGACTGACAACCTCGCCGGCCTGCCCACCATCAAGCAAGGCACGAGCAAACTTTCAGTTACCCGGACCGTCGACGGGTCGAACATGGCCTTCGGGAACGAGGTCGACATCACGTCCAAGTCCGCCGAAGGGGGAAAGGGAAAAATGATGCCTGGCGAGGAAACGGTCCAAGTTCACACAACGAACCCTTCGCCGGATCTGAATGACTTCGATTGCGAAAAGCATGGCGCCAACAGCGAGTCCAACCCGTTGCCCCAGCTCAAGCGGAAGCTGAGAAGCCGGCATTTGCAGATGATCGCTATCGGTTAGTGAACTCTGTTGGTTCCTTCCCCGAACCTCTGAATCATCTTGCCTCTTTCCTCCCTGCGCAGCAAAGGTGCCGCCCACAACATAGACTGACCCCAGCTCTAGGAGGCACCATCGGCACAGGTCTCTTCATCGGTAGTGGTACTGCTGTTGCCAATGGCGGACCCGTGGGCGCCCTCATCGCTTATGCCTTCGTCGGAACAATCGTCTATTCGGTCATGACGTCTCTGGGAGAAATCGCAACTTACATTCCGATTCCGGGCGCTTTCACAGCTTATGCTGCTCGCTTGGTTGACCCCAGTCTCGGCTTCGCTATGGGTTGGATCTATTGGTTTTCGTGGGCCTCGACATACGCGCTTGAACTCACAGCCACAGGGCTTATAATCCAATTCTGGGATGATAGCATCAATATCGCTGTCTTCATCGCCATCTTCTGGGTCGTCATCACGCTTCTTAATTGTCTGCCTGTCAGCTTCTATGGCGAATTGGAATTCTGGCTTTCGAGTGTCAAAATTATCACAGTTATCGGCTTTATGATCTTTGCGATCTGCATTGACGCTGGCGCTGGAAAGGAGGGCTATCTAGGCTTCCATTACTGGGTGCATCCCGGGCCGTTTTCTCCCTACAGTGGTGTTTCACCCGATTCAACCGCTAAGTTTGTTGGCTTTTGGTCCGTACTTATTCAGGCCGGGTTTGCCTATCAGGGAACGGAATTAGTAGGTATTGCGGCCGCGGAAACCGAAAATCCCCGCGTAACAGTCCCCGCAGCCATTCGCAAAACCTTTTATCGGATCCTATTCTTCTTCGTTCTCACTATCTTCTTCATTGGCATTCTCGTGCCATACACGAACGACGATCTTCTCACAGATGGGAATGACGCCAACTCTTCGCCATTCGTTATCGCCGCCAAGCTTGCGGGTGTTCGTGTGCTGCCACATATCATCAACGCAGTCTTGCTGACCGTGGTTCTTTCGGCTGCCAATTCGAATGTTTATAGTGGCAGCCGTATACTGATCGGCCTGGCGCAAGAAGGATTTGCTCCTCGTTGGTTCAAGAAGACCTCAAAGAAAGGTGTACCTTTTTTCAGCGTGGCGTTCACCTCTGCTTTCGGTCTGCTTGGATTCATGAACGTTTCCAATTCTGGCAGTACTGTCTTCAATTGGTTGGTCAACATTGCTGGTGTGGCCGGCTTCATTACCTGGGCCTCGCTCAACGGCTGTCATCTGGCTTTTATGCGTGCCCTGAAGGCTCGTAACATCTCTCGCGATTGTCTTCCGTACAAGGCCTTGTGGCAGCCGTACTATTCTTGGTATGGTCTGTTCTTCAATGTTCTTATTATCATCACTCAGGGCTTTACCGCTTGGATTCCCTCCTTCGATGTCACGAGCTTCTTCACCGCTTATATCAGTTTGATTCTTTTTGCGGTGCTCTACGTCGGCCATAAAATTGTTTACCGGACGTCTTTCGTCCAGCCGCTCGAGGCTGATATTGACACGGGCCGGTTGGAATTGGAGAATGAGACGTGGGAGACATCTGTACCGACATCCAGCAAATGGTACAAGAAGGCTTTTCATGCGGTCCTTGGATAATCTCGGGCCCGGACCAGCTCATTGACTAGGAGTTTTTGTTTGGCACAGGCGCCCTCTTGATTGCGTTCTCGTCGGTCGTGGAGATCTTGGACTGATCTCTTTTCTTCTTTGCCTATTAATTGAGACCGGCACATACATACTGCAAAGTTCATGCACATATAAAATTATCTGGAGTTCTGATTGCATTGGGGTGAAAGGCGGGTTTCTTCGCTCTATGACGGACGATGGTTGAGAAAGCCATTGAGGAGCCTCAAGTGCTTGCCCTCGGGGCATGCCACAAAGCCTTATTTGTACAACATTCATATTCTGTTTGGAGGGGATGTCAGCATTGGCATGGCGTTCGGTGCGAGACTTTGCTCTTAGATCTATTACTTTCCTAATGTATCATATATATGACTTCCGCCTACGCTGCGTTATTTATCGGGTATGAATCAAAGTTCACTTAGGAATAGTGTTCTGCTCCTGTGACTATCTTTGGATTGACTAACTGGGTAGTGCTCAGTAAGTACAAAAAGCCTGCATATGTGCGTGCATTTGGATTTCCCCGCGGCTGTTTAAGATTTGCGCCTGTGATGCATATACATCATCGATCTTCGTTGATTCACATGAAGGTCCACGTGCTCGGGAATGGGCAGAAGAGCAGGCTTCGTACCCGGGGTGAAGTTCCACCTGACATCTATTCTTTGCCTATTGGGCGGTGTGGTGGCATTGACCAAAAAGCATGTGAGGACGAGTGAGACACTCCAACATCTCATCGGACAGCGACTTACACAACCTACTCGTTGACGGAGTCCGGAGTATTCTATACCTAGTTCTATGAGAAGTGGAACATACTGTACGTGTATGTAGCAGCAGTCAGACAACCAGTTTTTTCTCCTCCGCTTTCTTTATCTCTTTTCCTATAAATTGTGAGCATGCGCAATGGCAGACAGAAGCGGAAGTAATATCAAGGAACTCCTGCAGCAAAATCCCGAGGTAGTCACCTGGAGTACGAGTACGAGTATGAGTATCATGAGTATGATTATGAACCAGTTCACCGTCGACGGATGCGAAAGCAAGTCGAAATGGAAATGGACCCGGGCGGCGCAATGGATGGCCGAAAAGAGTAAGTGCCGAGGCTCCCAGTACCTGCTCTGCCAATTTGACGTCGCGTGGGGGAAGAAGCCGGGCCGACCAGTAAGAACTCGTGCTTTCGGTCTGAATTCCGGAGAAACCGCCAAAGGGGAACCTCCAAAAAAAAAAAAAAAAAAAAAAAAAAAAAAAAAAAAAAAAAAAAAAAAAAAAAAAAAAAAAACCCTCTTCTCTCCCAACGTCTCTTGTCATGGTCTTTGAGTGTCTAAACCCAGGTGGGATCCCTCGTCCTGCGTCCCGCTTTGTATCTCCGCAATTGTCTTTGACCGTTACGAGTTCTTTGTCCGAGCGAACCACCTCCTGGGACACCCATCATTCAATCTCCAAGCTGGGATGCGAGCTTACTGGATGAGCTAGGGGTTTGAACTTCTCAACGCGATTTCATCCATGCATTCCGCCGAAGAGATCTCCGACGCTACAGGTGCTGTGAGCACCGGCAGTGACGACACTCTTTCGTCGTCCGCGACCACAAACCGAAAGACGTATACAACTGGCGCAAATGGCGCAGAGGGCATAGCTGGTGTCAAGAAGGAGAAGAAGAGAAGCAAATATCGACATGTAGCAGCATATCACGCCAAAGTGCGTCATTCCAGTCTCACGCGCGAACCCAATGTGACGGCGAGTTTCCTCGGCTTCCGCAATTTGATGGTGATTGTCCTGGGTGAGATTGACCTGACTAGTCTTGCTAAACGCGCCGCTGGGAAAATGCTCATGTCTTCTCTTCGTCTTAGTGGCAATGAACCTTCGGCTCATCATTGAGAACTTCATGAAGGTAAGACCCTCTGTCATGTGGAAGCAACTGAGATGCCGAGGCTAACGGCGCCGGGTAGTATGGCGTTCTTATCTGCATCAAATGTCATGACTACCGCAAACAGGACGTGGTCTTAGGATCGATCCTCTTTGCCCTCGTCCCGTATCACCTTTTCATCTCCTATCTCATTGAATTGACTGCGTCGAAGCAGGCCAAGCAGGTCGTCGGCCAGAGAAAGAAGGATGGTTCCGCGGAGGCAGCTGAGCGCGACCAGCGGACTTTCCGGCTTACCTGGTGGCTTTCTGCTTTCTTCCATTGCATTAACACTCTATTGAGTCTTGGGGTTACCAGTTTCGTCGTATACTTCTACATCCACCACCCTGGAATTGGCACGTTGTGTGAGCTGCAGGCCCTCATCGTCTCGTTCAAGATCTGCTCATATGCCTTCACCAATCGCGACTTGCGCGAGGCAATGCTCAACCCATCTATGGAGTCGGCACTCCCAGAGATCTACTCGTCCTGCCCGTATCCCCGCAACATCACTCTCGGAAATCTCATTTACTTCTGGTTGGCGCCTACCCTGGTTTACCAGCCCGTTTATCCGAGGTCATCACACATTCGATGGTCCTTTGTGGCGAAGCGCCTGTTCGAGTTCTTTTGCCTGACTGTATTCATCTGGCTTCTCTCCGCTCAATACGCGGCACCCGTGCTCCGGAATTCCATCGACAAGATCGCTGTGATGGATTTTGCGTCGATCCTGGAGCGAGTGATGAAATTATCCACAATCTCCCTTGTGATCTGGCTGGCCGGATTTTTCGCTGTGTTTCAGTCGCTGTTGAATGCGCTAGCCGAAGTCCTGCGCTTCGGTGACCGCGAATTCTATACCGACTGGTGGAACAGTTCCAGCCTCGGAGGGTACTGGCGGTCATGGAATCGGCCTGTGTATCTTTTCATGAAGCGGCACGTTTTCTCGCCACTCGTCGGACGAGGGTGGAGTCCGCTCGCGGCGAGTACTGTTGTATTTCTGGTCTCCGCCATTCTCCACGAGATGCTGGTTGGTATTCCGACACACAATCTGATCGGTAAGCAAGACAATCTGCAGTTTTCGTTTCCATGGATTCTGATCAAACGCAGGAGTTGCCTTTGCGGGGATGATGTTCCAACTGCCGCTAATTGCGATCACGGCCCCGTTAGAAAAGATCAAGGACCCATCAGGCAGGGTGATAGGAAACTCGATCTTCTGGGTTAGTTTCTGCCTCGTGGGCCAACCTCTGGGGGCCCTGTTATATTTCTTTGCCTGGCAAGCGAAGTATGGCAGTGTGAGCAAAATTGGGGTGTAGATCGTTGTCTGATTTGTTTCGTCACCATTCTTCAATACTTCGATGGCTTCAATGGCAGTAACCGGGCTAGAACTGGCTTTAGTGCCTTTGCAGTTTCCAATCAATAGAATAATGCAAGGAGCAACAAAGCCACACGTCAACCATAGCTAGAAGAGAAACTCCTGGAAGCATCGTTACTGCTTACCGATCAGCAGGCAGCAAAAACGCGTAAGAAATGGGGGAGGAATTCCAGCACGGAACCCCGGCTGTGCGAGGGTCCGCAGGGAAAGCTTAAGATCCGTATCCGGCCGGATCCATACAAAACCACCGGAAATCTGGCTTCATCAGCCACACGAGCAATATCACTAAACAATTTCACCATCTCCAACCAACCGATTTGCACTCCACCAAATCAAATCCACTTCTATACTTCCCCATCATGTTCACCTTGACTGTTCCTGAGGGCTACGGGTAAGTCACTTTAATCGATGCCGTCTTACCCCTGTATTGTAACCTGGACTAACGATTTCCCCCTCGGGGGTTACACAGCGCCGTCATCGCCGTCGCGCTGGGCGCCATCCCCGTCCTGGGGTTCGTCCACGGCATCGTCACGGGCAGCACCAGAAAGAAGGCCCAAATCCCCTACCCCCACACCTACGCGACCGTCGAACAATGCAAGGCTGATGTGAGTTTCCTTTCTCCCACCGCTCTCCCTCCACCCACCCAGGCTTCGATTGACTGATAATGACCCCCCCAAAAAAAACAGCCCAAAGCCGAGCAATTCAACTGCGCCCAGCGCGCGCACGCCAATTTCTTGGAGAACTCCTCCCAGACTATGCTCTTCACGCTGGTGGCCGGGCTGAAATACCCGCAGCTGGCGGCGGGCTTGGGCGCGGCGTGGGTGGTCTTGCGGGCGCTGTTCTTGCACGGATACGTGTACTCGGGCAAGTCGGAGGGTAAGGGCCGGTACAGAGGGGGTCTGTTCTGGTTGGTGCAGGGGGCGTTGTGGTGGTTGACGGTCTTTGGCGTGGCGAAGGAGTTGTTCTAGGGGTGCACGGGTGAGGTTGGTGAGAGTGTGGGGATGGGGATGGGCTGCTGGTCCTGTGTAGTCTAAGGTCGTTAATGTTCGTAAGGGAATCTGTCAGGCTTGCATCATTTAATTGAGCAATTTTGTTTGTTGGAGTTCTGGGTGAAGACTGAAAGGTAGTAGTGGGGACTGGATGTTTAGGGATGGGTGCTCATTGTGAGGGTTGGAGTAAGTGTACAAGTATCAGTTGCAATGGTAAGTAGGTCATAGTCAGTGGAAAGATATCTGGAGACTTGGCTCAGCATCTTGAGATGCTGTCTGTATTCAAGCTCGGCGGAGAAACTCTCAGGGCCGCAGCCTCGGCATTCGGCAGTGTGGCTGACCCCACGGTCGGAGGTGGAGCAATCTAGAAGCCGATGTGGCTGATGAAGGATGGAGGGGGAATCTTTGGGTATGATTTTATCGTCTATCGTATTTTCTTCCGCAGGCCTTCTTTTCGTCAATACCCCGCCATTGAGCTCAATTACTTGACTGGTATCATTATTGGAGGCCTCTTCACATACTGGTCAATCCCCCAATCAGCCCATTCCAGCAAAAAGCTCCACATCCCACCCGACATCGTACAATTGTCATCCGCTACCACCCCGCAAAACCCCCGCCATGTCTTCCAAGTCGCAATTGACCTACACTGCTCGTGCGAGCAAGCACACCAACCCTCTGGCCAAGCGCCTCTTCGAGATCGCCGAGGCGAAGAAGACCAATGTGACCGTCTCCGCCGACGTGACCACTACCAAGGAGCTCCTGGACCTCGCTGACCGTAGGCCCGCCGAAACCTCTTTCACTCCATGATAAGGAATTGACCCCCGAGATATGTACATAGGCCTGGGACCCTACATCGCCGTCATCAAGACGCATATCGACATCCTGTCGGACTTCAGCAACGAGACCATCGAGGGCCTCAAGGCGCTGTCCGAGAAGCACAACTTCCTGATCTTCGAGGACCGCAAGTTCATCGACATCGGCAACACCGTCCAGAAGCAGTACCACAAGGGCACCCTCCGGATCTCGGAGTGGGCCCACATCATCAACTGCAGCATCCTGCCCGGCGAGGGCATCGTGGAGGCCCTGGCCCAGACCGCCGCGGCCGAGGACTTCGAGTACGGCGCCGAGCGCGGCCTCCTGATCCTGGCCGAGATGACCTCCAAGGGATCCCTCGCCACGGGCCAGTACACCACCTCCTCGGTGGACTACGCGCGCAAGTACCAGAAGTTCGTCATGGGGTTCGTGTCGACGCGGGCGCTGGGCGAGGTGCAGTCGGAGGCGAGCTCCGCCTCGGACGAGGAGGACTTTGTCGTGTTCACGACGGGCGTCAACATCTCCTCCAAGGGCGATAAGCTCGGCCAGCAGTACCAGACCCCCGCCTCTGCGATTGGTCGCGGAGCCGATTTCATCATCGCCGGTCGCGGGATCTATGCCGCGGCGGACCCGGTGCAGGCGGCGCAGCAGTACCAGAAGGAGGGCTGGGAGGCGTACCAGGCCCGTGTTGGCGGAAACTGAAATTGAGTGAGGGGTGGCTGTTTATTTTAGACGATGTACAGGATTAGCAACATAATGCCATGTTACGACTAATTTGCTTTCAAGCATCCAAGCTCTCGGATAATGACGAGGGGGTATCGATCCTGCATGGAAGATAAGATCCCTTGAATCAGTCATCTTGCCATCCAGGCCCATTCAGGCCATGGGTTTTGTGATTGATAACATGGGAGATGATAACCTAATCTAGACCGGACGAGATAAGACCTGAAATCCAGCCTCTACCTTACTTACATGACTGTAGAGGCAGGCAGATGATGGGTCTGTGGATCTCCTAGCATATCTCAGCATATACTTTCCTCTGGCCAAGATTGTTATCTGCCAATGGATGGATGCAATATGGCCATGCTATTAATGTTGAGATGGGGGACGTTGCAAAGCGCCGGCCTCCAGATCTGGAATCCGATGCGGAACGAAGAGTGACAGTTCCGCGCTTGCAGGATGTTGTTGAGCGACTTTCCTTCCTTCTCCTCTCCTCACCTCATGACGTCGCAAGATAAGCGACAGCACGATTCGTCCCTCTGCCATCCTCAGTCGAAAACAACCTAGGAGCATCATGTCCAGCCTCGAGTCACTCGGCTAATCTCTCCAATGGACGAGTGGCAAGTCCTCTTCGACCTCAACATCCTCCTTCACCCCCTCTCCTCTCTCCAACCTGTTTCCCCCTCATTCTTATCTGACTGGATGGCATTATCGTTTAGTACTCCAACTACTGCATGCAGCTAACGGGGATCCAACCCTCCTGATTCGGTCGATAAGCCGTCTACCCCAGATAAACCAGATAACAGCCAAACAACTAGCGTCTTATCTCCGACTATGGGACTATGGGACTATGAGCGCTCATGCAACCCCATCTCTTCCAAGCAAGCTAGTTGTGAATTCCATTGCCGATCCGGCTGCACCATGACATTTCAGAGGACAGTCATAAAGCCCATCTGGTCGCTCTGGGTCAATCTCCGCTTGCCCCCTTGCCTCCTGTCTGTCACACCCGTCCTTCATCCCCACACTTCTATCCCCTTTGACGCATTCTTCTCTTTTCTCTCCTTGCTTCCTCGGTGCCATTAAACATGGGGGACGAGAAATCCCAGTCGCATACAATGGTCGATGAAGAGAAAGATACCACCAAGGCCGTGGATCCGGTCCTTCTCCAGCATGCGCAGGACGCAGACGAGGCGCTGGGCGTCTTCCAAGATCTCCAGGGGGAGCTGATCGAACTCGACGAGGCCACGAACAAGCGACTCTTGCGCAGAATCGATTGGCATATCATGCCGATCATGTGCTTTGTCTATGGCATGAACTTCCTCGACAGTGAGTGACTCCATGCGGTTCAATGCGGCAGCATGTATGTTGACACATTCTAGAAACAACCCTGTCCTACGCCAGTATCATGGGCATCAAGACCGACATCAACCTGCAAGGCGATGACTATCAATGGCTAGGCAGTCTATTCTACTTTGGTGCGTACTGTCATACGCGGCCATGTAGCAGGAAGACTAACAGTTCATCAATCAGGCTATCTGGCATGGGAATACCCGACAAATAGACTTCTGCAGAGACTTCCCTTGGGGAAGTACTCCGCCGTCTGCATCATCATATGGGGAGCTATCCTGTGTTGCTTTGCTGCAGTGTCGAACTTTTCTGGAGCTGTTGCCATTCGGTATGGCACCCCTGCCACTGTCTCATTCGACTCTTCTAACGTGCAATTAGCTTCTTTCTAGGCGTTTTCGAAGCCTCCGTCACCCCAGGCTTTGCTCTGCTAACCTCTCAGGTGAGTCGGCCCGAAGTAGACCACACTACTTATCCCTATCCCAGCTCTAACATGGTTATATTGAATAGTGGTACACCAAGTCTGAACAAGGCAGCCGCGTCAACATCTGGTTTAGCTTCAATGGTTTCGCACAGATTCTCGGCGGCTTCGTCGCCTACGGTATCGCCGTCGGCACCGAGAAACACGGCTCCGCCATTGCTCCCTGGAAGATCGTCTTCCTCGTGACGGGCCTCCTGACTGTCCTCCTTGGAGTCATCTTCTACTGGGTGGTCCCCGACAGCCAGCTCAACGCACGCTGGCTCACCAAGGAAGACCGCATTCTGGCTGTGGCCCGCGTTCGCGTCAACCAGCAAGGTATCGGAAACAAGCATTTCAAGCTCCACCAAGTAAAGGAAGCCCTGATCGATCCGATGACGTGGGCGTTCTTCTTCTACGCTCTCATCGCAGATATCCCCAACGGCGGAATCACCAATTTCTTCAGTCAGCTGGTACGTTTCCATGCCCTGAACCTCTCAATCTGTCTCCACCACCACCACCACCACCACATCCACTAATCGCGCAAGGGAATAGATAACCTCCTTCGGTTACACTGCTGAACAATCTCTCCTCTACGGCACGCCCGGCGGCGTCGTGGAGATCCTCTCCCTCATCGGCAGCGGCTTTCTGGGCCAATACACCAACCAACGCCTCCTCTGCAGCGCGGGCGGTCTCGTCTCCGGCATCCTCGGGATGATTCTCATCGTCGCCCTACCACTCTCCAACAACGTCGGCCGGCTGATCGGCTACTACCTGACCCAAGCCAGCGCCACCTCGTTTGTGGCCCTGCTGGCCATGATCTCCTCCAACGTCGCCGGCTACACCAAGAAGACAACCGTCGCGGCGATCTACCTGATCGGGTACTGTGCGGGCAATATAATCGGTATGTGTTTCTCCAGTGCCGCACTATCTGTTTACCAGAGAAACCTACCAACCTCAAACTTGGCGCGATAACTAAACAACAACCAGGCCCGCAAGTCTTCCGCCCGCAAGACGCCCCCCGCTACGTCCCCGCCGAGATCACCATCATCGTCTGTTACGGGGTGTCGATGATGATCCTCGGACTGATCTGGTGGTGGTATCGCCGACAAAATGAGAAGAAGGCTCGCATCCGCTCGAGTCCGGAGTATATCCGGTTGGAGAATCAGGAGTAAGTTCCTCACTCTCATTCACGCGTTCCTTCCATCATCCCTTGCTATCACTCTGTTCCTTCCTTTCCAAGCCATGCTGACTTTTGGTGCAAGGTGGATGGACCTCACGGATTGGGAGAACCATGATCTTGTCTATGCTTTGTAATGAATGACTCTTTCAGGCCTGGAGCCTGTTGATCTACTCCTTGTTATGTACTTTCCTGTGTAAGTCACAGGTTATCTAGGCTTTCATGATCATGATATGATATGACGTAATTCTATGCGCTTATACCAAATGTGCTTCTGAGTATCCGGGGGGAAGTACAACTGCTCCCGTGCAGCTTACCAGATTTTGTAGACAGCAAGCATAGCTCACTCATAGTCTCAAGAAAAATATGGATCATCTTCACGGATCAAATTGAGGACCTTTTCTTGAACTCAAATTCTCTCATACAGGCCATCGTCTATGACATGCGTCTCTCACTCATCGCAACCCATAACCCGACTTCGCATACACAGACAAGCTGCAAGCTGCAAGCTGCACAAACCTCGTCTCATAGGAATGCACAATCTTCGGCACACTGCAAACCAAGTCACAGGACTGCCCATATAAAATACAGACTCAAGGAAGGGTGTTCCCCGTAGACCAGAGCCTATCCTCCAGATAGGATATCACTCACCCCACAACTCCCCTGTCTCAGACAGTCACACAACAAGCACTCAGCCTGTCGAGTCACGGCTTTGCAGAGAAGTCTACCTCATTGTGGTTTGGCTTCCAAGGCAGCTTGCACTCTCCCAACACCTTAGGCCTCACATCGAGATATGGGGTGTGAGAGACATGGTTTTGTCTGGAACATGATGTCAGTACGCCATGGTTTATACAATCGAATAACAGAGGAGTTTTCATTGACTGACCATGGTTTGTTGCAGTACTGAAGTAGAATATGTCACCGATAATGGTTTCATCGATGACCCAGGCCCGTCCCAGCCACCCAACCGAGGCCTGTGATAAAGGAAGTCCTGTTGAGGAGAACGATATGGAGGAGGTGGAATGTAGGGTGTTCATGTGTGGGCAGTCGCTGTCGAAGGGGTTGTTGTCGAAGAGGTTGCTGTCGAGGAGGTTGCTGTCGAGGAGGTTGCTGTCGAGGAGGTTGCTGTCGAAGAGGCTGCTGTCGAAGAGGTTGCTGTCACGGAAGATGCTGTCGTAAATAGTCGTTCTCGAAGATTGTAGAAGCTAGTTGTATATGTCCCAGGCCCATCCCAACCACCCAACCGAGGCCTGTGTTGAGAGATACGTTGGCGACAAGAAGGTTCTTGTCGATGAGGTTGCTGTCGAAGAGGTTGATATCGAGATGGTTGTTGATGAGCAGATTCTGTCGTGTGAAGACCAGTCCCCACTGCTCATCCTCGGCTAGTGTCGCAGCGCAAAGAGAACGTCGCCAATATTTATCACGACATGTTAGTTGGACTCAATTGCATCAAGGAGAATAGACGCCCTTAGCACACTTACTCTTAGAGGTGCTAAATAGTCGTTGTCCCAGGCCCGTCCCAACCACCCAACCGAGGCCTGTAGATCTCGTTGTTTTGTCGAGGTCGTCGTCAGTGCTGGTGGCGCGAGGTCGTTGCTGTGAGGCCGGTGTCGTGAGGTCGGTGTCGTGAGGTCGGTGTCGTGAGGTCGGTGTCGTGAGGTCGGTGTCGTGAGGTCGGTGTCGTGAGGTCGGTGTCGTGAGGTCGGTGTCGTGAGGTCGGTGTCGTGAGGTCGGTGTCGTGAGGTCGGTGTCGTGAGGTCGGTGTCGTGAGGTTGGTGTCGCAAGGCTGTCGTTGATGTCGTCGTCGAGGACCCAGGCCCGTCCCTGCCACCCAACCGAGGCCTTCGATATCGTTGCCTTGGTGTTGTCGTCGTTATCGAGGTGGTCGTAGTCGTCGTCGTTGTAGTCGTCGTCGTTGTAGTCGTCGTCGTCGGTGTTGATGTCATGATGTCCGTCTCGTTGTCATCGTCGTCGTCGTCGTGGTTTTCATCGTCGAGTTCATCGTCGAGGACCCAGGCCCGTCCCTACCACCCAACCGAGGCCTGCCGAGTTCGTTGCCTTGTCGTCGTCGTCGAGTTTGTCGTCGCCGTGAGGTCGATATCGTCGAGGTCGTCGTCGTCAAGTGAATCGTGTTCGTGATCACCCCTACCACTATCCCAGGTCTGCCGTGAGAACAGCTGCTGCTCCGAAGTTGTCGTTTGAGCAGATGAATCTGGGATCCTTGCACCCAGGCCCCATTCCATCATCCAATCACCCAACTTCTCCGAAAGAAACACGCCCATCCCTTTCAGACCCGTTCCCCGAAGCAATCAGTCAGCCCGTTCATATATGTACGTACATCAACAGAAGAAGGAAATGAACCATGGGAGAACAGCGTGTATAAACAAGAAACGAGAAAAGAAAACTATGTATCCTGTTCATCAACAGATGTCAGTCAACATCCACTAGACCGAGGCTTTTTCACTCACCCGTTCTCGAAGTGACAGCAGCGTCTACACCAGGAAACCTGGTGTGCAGGCCTCGTGAGAGGCCACAAAAAAGTTGCTTTATTTGTCACTTCTTGAACCCTAAAACATAAGTTAGTCAATAGCGTATGCTAATCCGTTGCCAGAGGGGACCACTCACTATCCTTCTATGGAAAAAAGAAGCAGAAAGGAAAGAAAGAAAAGACAAAGGGAAAAAGAAAAACAAAAGAAAAGAAGAAACAAACAAAATCAAGAAATGAAAAGCAGGATTAGTATAAAACATAGACAGTGAACCCACCGTCTATGTCCCAGGCCCATCCCAGCCACCCGCCGAGCCTAGGAAAAACAATAGGGGGAAGAAGTACGCCTGTATCGATCAGCCAAATGAGCCATGTCAATATGCAAACATTGGAAAGGTACTTACACCTTGACCCACGGGCACAGGATAGCATCGAGCTAACCTGATTCCATGAGTGGGAAAAAATATATATCCCAAGCCCGTCCCGACCACCCAACCGGGGCCTTTTACAATATACATACTACTGCAAGACAAGTTAGCCAGGTTCAGTCAGGATAGTGAGCACTTACCAAGGGAGTGCAAGATTACATCTACATGACCCAGGCCCGTCCCGTCCGCCCGCCATGACCTGAGGTTGTCGCGTATGGGCTTTGTCGTGTCTCCGGCCCCAACCACCAACCATGGCCACGAGACAACTACGAAGTGGCGCATATGGGCTTTGTCGTATATCCCAGCCCATTCCCAACCACCCGGCCAAGGCTGTTCAGAAGCTACTGTAACGCAAAGTTAGCTCAGCATAGCCAGACAGGAGATCAGCACTCACCGAATCGACACAGAGCTACGCTACAGTGTCTTTGACCCAGGCCCGTCCCAACCACCCAACCGAGGCCCGTCTACGCTACTATAGACCACAGTTAGCTCAGCTTGATTCAAAGAGTGTCATGATCACTCACCGAAGGGACACAGAGCTACGCTACAGTGTCCCGCCCTAGCCCGTCCCAGCCACCCAACCGAGGCCAAGGCAACTACTATAAAGTGAAGTTAGCTCAACTCAATGGAGAGGATGCAACCATCACTCACCGAATGGACACAGAGCTACGCTACAGTGTCCAACACCCAGGCCCGTCCCATCCGCCCAACCAAGGCCCAGTCTACAACTACTATCAAGAAGAGTTAGCACAGTTTCATAAACTGGACAGAACGGTCACTCACCAAATGGACGCCAGAGCTACGCTACAGTGTCCAACACCCAGGCCCGTCCCATCCACCCAACCGAGGCCTGGTCAAACTACATCGACGAACCTCCATTAGTCAGTTTCTCGTTGCTATGGTGAGGTCACTCATCTGTTTGATCATGAAACTTGAACATCATCGACATCAGACCCTACACGCGTGTCTGATGCCCCAGGCCCGTCCCGTCCACCCGTCCAAGGACCTGTGCAAGCAAATCGTGTCTGCCAACCTTTGTCAGTCAAGTGCCAATAGCTGCTAACACTCATAGAAGACTTACCAGTTTCTTTCGAAACTGCACTTAACAACACCCAGCAGCCTAAGCTGCTAAGTGTTCCCAGGCCCTTCCCAGCCGCCCTACCATGGCCTGGGCAGACTGCATATGCACGGAACCATCAGTCGAGTGAATACTGTCAAAGAGGAAGGGGAACTTTCTCTGTCGAATATACATAGCAAGATTCAAACACCAGACGCCCGCGTGTCCGATGTCCCAGGCCCGTCCCGTCCACCCGTCCGAGGCCTGTTCAGACTACTGTGTCTGCAAACCTCTGTTAGTCAAGTACCAATAGTTGCTAGCAACCTCAGAAGACTTACCAGTTTCTTTCGAAACTGCACTTAACCACACCAGACACTCGCGTGTCCGATGTCCCAGGCCCGTCCCGTCCACCCAGCCAAGGCCTGTTCAGTCTAACGTGTCTACGTATATATACAAGTCAGTCAACTGCTCCATCTCAAGAAAGGATAGATGACTTACCAGTTTCTTGCAAACCTGCACTCAAACACCAGACACGCGTGTCCGATGTCCCAGGCCCGTCCCGTCCACCCAGCCAAGGCCTTTGTAAGCAAGATGTGTCTGCATAATGAATGTTGTTAGCCGAGTGCACAATCTTGAGGAAGGACTTACTAGTCTCTTTCGAAACTGCACAAACACCAGACACTCACGTGTCCGATGTCCCAGGCCCGTCCCAGCCACCCAACCGGGGCCTAGAAAAGAAAATTAAATTCAACAGATCAGACAAGATAGAAAAGATCAGACAAGATAGGAAAGATCAGACAAGATAGCAGAAAATGACAAGTAGATCAAATGAGATGATAAACACCGGGCAGCTGTGCTGCCTGATGTCCCAGGCCCGTCCCAGCCACCCAACCGAGGCCTAGGAAAGAAAATTAAGTCAAACAGATCAGACAAGATAGAAAAAGATCAGACAAGATAGCAAAGATCAAACAAGATAGCAGAAAAGACAGAACGCCTAACTCCCCAAAATCAAGAAAATGTGACAAATGAAACAACCAAAAGAGATAAAACAGATACAACAGATAGGATAGATAGAATAGATGAGAAAGATGACAAGAAGATGCACATATGAAACCATATACAAGGAGATACACGAAATAAGAAAAGAAACAACAAGATGAAGAAGGAAAGATAGTAAGGAAAAGAGACATATGAAACAACGAAATAAAACATATGAGATAGATGAAAGTAGAAGACAGAAGATACAACAAATGAAACCACAGACAAGGAGATATAGAAGATACACAAAATGAAGAAGATAGTAAGAAAAGAGACATATGAAACAATCAAAGAGACAAGAAATAACCAAATAAATGAGACATATGAGACAAGAAAAGATAGGAAAGACAGATGCAACAAATGAAACTATCTAGAAGAAATCACATAACATAGGAAAGATAAGAATATGCCAACAAGATGAGAAAGAGACACAAGGAGACAAGAAAAGATAGGAAAGACAAGATACACCAAATGAAACCTACATACAAGAAGATAGGAAAGAAAAGACAGACACCAACAAATGAACACTACCTAGACACGATATGCACAAGATGGCAAGAAGATACACGAACTGTTAAGGGATGAGAGATGTGTAGGAGAGAAAGATTTCTCGAGCCTCGAGCGAGGGATCGCGCTGGTTTTGCTCCGATGCCAAGACTTGACGTCGTCGCGAACGCTGTCAGGATGTGTGCCTGAGAAGACCCAGGAAGCTGGAGGAAGTAGAGTTTGACGTCAAAGTTGCTCGCTGGATGGCCGGCTGCCATGGTAGGGTGTCGAGGGAGGGTGAAGGGGGGAAAGGAGACAAGAGAGTTTGGGCCTTCGGCTTCGATAGATGGAGCCATCCGGTGTTACTCCGGCGAAGACGTCGCAAAGCTTGTTCAGTGTAAGGTTTGAGCGGATGCGAGCCGGCCGAGGGAGCGGGGGATGGGCAGTGCGATGCCAACGACGCTATCTGTCGACTGCGGTGGGAGTTCGACTGTGAATAGTAACCTGCAAGTTTGACCCACACTAAAGTTAGCAACATGGCAGAGAGTCGGGTGCAGCAAGCTTACCTTCGTCCAGAGAGAACCATACGTCTCCCTCCCTCCTCCCCTCCCCCCTCCCTCTCTCTCTCTCTCTTTTCCTCGTTCTCTCAGAACCAAATTGATCAACGCAGGGGCAGGAAGTTCAGTCAGGGGACCAAGAGAATCAGGAACAGCAGCACATGGAACTACGGGCTGGCACCCGCAGCTTCTCTACCAGGAATGTGGGGGATAAGCTTTTGCCCTGATACTCTTAAGGCTCTCTCGGAATTATTCTCCTGTGCAAACCCAATCCATCAATCAGGGGAGAGAATGCTGTCCTGCTGACAGGACCCCTTGATTGCCAACCATGGAAACTCGAAACTCATCAGCCAGCCCATGCAAAAATAGTACACTTTCAAGTCGCGGGAGTGGCTTGCAAGTCAATGCAGCTTGAGCAAAAGCTTAATTTCTGGATTCTTAGACTGCTACATATGAGTACAAAAAAAGAAACGTCGGTTGCATGCCCACCCAGGCTCGAGTACCGTACAGTGTGGTAGGGTACAGTACTGTACATCCAGTATGCAACCTCGTCACATCAGAACAGTGACTACTTTCCCAGCAACCAATAACCCCCCAGCCCAAGCACAGCCAACAGGATGGCCCACCGCATCAGCCCCCGGCGGATGTAGTACTCGGCGATGCGATCCACCGCCTGGGCGTCGTTGATGCGGGGGAAGGGAACGTCGGGCACCTCCTTGCCCAGCGCGCGGCAGAGGGGCTCCCAGCCCTCGCGGACATCGAACAGCACGAGGCGATCGGGCGGCACGACCTCGCGCAGCCACTGCAGGTGCAGCTGGTAGATCCAGGCGACGTCGCGCGAGCGATAGATGCGGTCCCACTGCGCCTGCAGCAGCCAGTTGTAGCCCATGAAGTGCCGCATCCCCGGGAGCGGGAGCAGCACGGCGCCCAGGAACCACAGGCGCACGATCGAGCTGACTTGCTGGATGCTCCGCACCCACGCGTCCGGGTCGCGCACCGTGCAGATGACTTTGCTGTCCGGGTAGAGCTCGAGGAGTTCGGGGACGAGCTGCGACGCGGGCGCATCGGTGATGGCGGCGTAGCCCGCGGTGCGGGTCTGGAGGAGGGCAAGCGTGGTCGCGTGGTCGCCCGACAGCCAGCTCTGGAGGATTCGCTTCCACGAGACGATCTCCGTAGGCGGGCCCATCAGCGTCTGGGTACCCCCGTGGTAGATGGGGCCGCCCAGAAGGATCTCCAGGGCGGCGCTGAAGGAAGCGGTTCCCGTGCGCGAGAGCCCGGCGCCGATGACTTGGATGTGTGTCCCGGGCTGGGGGACGGACGCTTGTTGGCCCATCGTGTACGTAGCTCGTAGAGAATATGGGAAGCTGGAGGAAAGGTTCAAGGCGAGGCTGGTCCGGAAGAGTTTGAGGGGGTGGGAATAATAATGGGAGGATGATGAGAGAGGTTGCAAAGGCGTTTCAGCGGCAGTAACCATCGAAGGTCACACAAGTTACGGAGTACTTTCTTCTTGCTGGGGTCGCCTTAAGCGCCGCCCTTCCACCGATTTCGAACCAGGGATTGACTTTTTACCCCTGTCCTGTACATCCAGCAGAATACTACTAACTGGGTACTACAGGCAGGAACCAACTTCCAGTCCAACCACAACGGGCTGTCTATCTCCGAGCACCTCGACCGGAGGAAGAGCTATAATTAGGATACAGGAATTTCTCGCTGTTTGCTTTCCTCGTGAACGCGATAGAGCAAGAATCTAAGAATAGTCGTCCATGTGATCTTCTACTGCCAATGATGTGGATGCATCGACGTTACGGCGAAAAAGTGACTGAGAGATGACATCGCTTGCTGTTCGCGCCTCGAAGACGTTGTACACCACTGAAGAGAATGTGTCGGTAGAGTTAGGCAGTGGGGGAGATATGCAAGATCTGGATGTAGGGGCTTCAGTAGGAATGATCTTCCGGGGCTAGAATCGGATGCCTTTCTAGATAGAGAGACACAGGATCAAAATATACCCCATTGAACCAGCAACGAAGACAGCAACATGTGGGTTGCAAAAGGACTACGTGTGGTGCTCAGAGTTGGTCGAGCATTTCAACTATTAGCAGAAATTCTTGAGTATATTCCCAAACATAAGCCAGATGAATTTGAGAGTCATGATACAGTAAGCCGAGCATGCTGCTGGCACGCAGCAAGAACTAGCACTCGATCACAAGTACGCAAATTGACAGGACCAGCGTTGAGAGCCTGGGCCTTGCCTGACGATTTAGTCTCATCGTTCTTCAAACTTATCCAGTGATGCAGAAATCAATATATTTGAGGAATTAAATAAGGGGCGAAGATCAAACCAGACGCAGTCTAGGTACACTCCTACAAGCTACAGACGGAGCAGCTACAGCTATCATGAATAACAAATAATCGCCTAGTCCTGACATCTACGTAACTACTCATCAAGCCTCACCAACCGTTGTGTAGCCCCATTCTCCCCCGAGTACAGGATTCGAGCAAATGATGACCCATCCTCCTTGTTAAAGAAACCCACCACCCCGTCCACACCGAGTGGACAACTCTCTCTCAGCGTTCTCAGCTCAGTCTTCATTCCTTGAAGCACCACTTGAGCCATCTGCTTCGAGTTGAAAAAGCCGCCACAATGCGGCCACGACAGTAGACTATCAATAGCCCACAAGCGGATCTCGTAGTCGGGACACTGAGCCAAGAAGAAAAAAACGGGGGTAAGACCAACTCCGAGGCTGATTAGCGGGCGGTCCCGGATCTGGTCCAATGTCGTTTTCAGCATTCGGTCCAGGTTCACGAAATCCTCCACGAGGGAATGCAAGGAGAGATCATTGCTGAGCAAGAGAGTGCTCTTGACACCTACGATCTGTCCATGCGTGATGACTCTCAGCAGCTGCACACCCCGCTTCTCCTTTGTATTGAGGCGGGTGGATGGCTGCGCCACAAATGCCTCGAGCTGTTGCAGGAACCGATTTAAGCATGAAAGAATGCGTGTTGGGGAAAGCAAGCTGGCCTGGTAGGACTCTACGGCCGGGATCCTTTGTCTTTGCTTCCAAAATATTACGTGAAAGCCGCAGCTAGCGTTGAGTACGGGTCCAAATGCGCGCTGGGCCTCGTGGAAAGTGGTGAAGGTAGATAGATGGTCCTCATACGGCATCTCATGGATTATTTCGTGATCGCTCGTCAGGATTGGCCCACCCATCATGAAAAAGGACTGACTCTGAAGATGCAGATACGTCTCCAGGGTGGTCTGCTGTTCCCATGGCGAGTGCGCGCACCTTTGTGCTCTGAGTTCTCGGAGAATCCTCAGTCCACCTGCTAGATGCACACTCGCGGTTTCTGGGCGTGCACAGAGCAGTTCAGTCACGGTGAAGAGCAAGCAACAGATGAGGACCACCTGTCGCAGGGCGGGATCCTGCGAAGCACGGCGCTGGGTGAGCATAGAGAAGGATCTGAGGGACTGTTCCATTGCGAAACGTTCTAAAGTGCTACCAGACTTCTTTCCAGGCCTGGGCAAGCCATACTTCTCCAGATTCTGATGGATTGAGCCCAGAGCCACGATCGCATGGTACACGGCCGGCTCATTGTAACTCATCTGGAGTACGAGTTTCTCCCACAGAGGGTTATCGACCGAGGCAATCAGATGAGAGACCGAACAATGTTGAAAGTACGAGAAACAGCGTATCTCATCTGTGGTGGTTGTGAAACGAAAGCCGGTTGGTACCGGGGCAGGAATTCGAGACACAGTTGCTGTCTTTCTACGCGGGGGTAGAGGCAGTCGCTGCACTTCGTATCCATCGCAGACTCGGCCTGTGGAGGTACAGCGCTGGCATGATCCGGGCGCTTCATCGCATTTGATCCGCCGGGCTCTGTTGACAATGCGTCAGCCGAGTGACAGCGGATAGTCAAATCACTTCTTGCTTACCGACAGGTGCGACATCCGGTACGGGATCTTGGCTTAGAAGCACGCCGCCGGATAAGACTCTTATGAGACGAAGTAAGTGAGTCCTCCAAAGGGCCCGAATCCATTGTAGTTGGTGGTGGACCTGGTGGTGCTTTTGACGTTGTTGTTAAATTAATCGCGACCCGCACTAAATTAGCAGCGGCGGCTGGACGAGCCGATGGGGCGGGCCGTCAGGGGGAAACAACGAACTGGTGTCTGGCTGCCTGGCAGAGGGAGACAATCTGACATCTCCCCTACTCCGCTGTGGAGCCTGTCGGTCTCCTCCATCCTCTTCCAAGTTCCATGATTCCCTGCCGTCTTCCTTGCGGCCCCATGCCAAGGAAATTGGCATCTTGGTTCCTGTGGTGGGTATCTGGGTCCTATATTATCCTTGAAACTATGAATCTATGATTGCTGATCCGAATCCACTGTCACAGGCAGCGAGTCCCCCCTAATCCAGATACGAAAGATTCGCTAGTTCCTGAATTTTTCCTCTTAGGAACATCATCCTCGCTAACCACTAATAGCAATGCCTACCTACCCAAAGACAGACTCGATCAAGTCCCGACTCGGATTCGAGCCAAAGCAAACAAACGCAGATTCTACCCTACCAATCAAGGAACAACCCATCCACCGCTGCAGTCAATGAAAATACCTTACGAAGGGCCCCTAAGGATTGAAGATCACTGGCCAAAAGTAACCCAATCTACAGTACATGTACATGCCCTCACGGCCATTCTCTCCCTGAGTCCTGAACGAGGAACCGTCGAGAGAGTGACACCGACCCTGACTAGCTTCTTATCCCACGGTTACAGCGAGATGTCAGCAGCTCGACATTAGTGCTGGCGAGGAGGTCTACCGTTGGAGATGAAGAGAAGGAGAAGGATAGGCTGTGAGCTGATCAATGAGTGGAGCAACGGTGGCATACTATACTCACAACTCCTCGGAGTTTGTCAGAGAAATGGATAAGACCTTCTTTAACAACAAGAAACTGGCATGTTATTCGATATCAACGGCTCATTAGCCTGATGCTTTGCTCCGCTGAGCTAGCCCTTGACCCCTGCGTAAAGACCATTGCACCCAATAGCTAATGCTCCATCACATCACGAGCTCCGCTCTCCACACGAGTGTGATGACTCCTGGCCCGACAATGTGGGCATCAGCCCACAGCTAGCTGGCTGTTCCAACCATGAGATCACCAGGTACACGGATTCTACAAGGTCAAAGAGCAAATTCCAATTGGGGCTGGACTAATGCAACTCAGTGAAGCAATCCCCAGAATTAATTGTCCCATGAACACCCCACCTGATAAGATGCCACGGAGAACTCACAGCTCTGGGTATTGTTGCATTCATCCCTTGATGTGCATACTGCGATATTGCAATGATATCATATCTGATGAGCTGGGTCAGTCATGAAAGGGTAGGCTCCATGGTGCTGATTGGGTTGGGTATGCGCATCGCCAAGCCACGTGCCTGTACAATGTCCAAGAGCAATCACCACAGACCCAATCTGCTGGGATTGCCTCGACTAGATAAAGTCTATCAGATTGACCATGAACAACTTGATCGAAGTCAATGTGATGAGTCTACGAAAAAAGGGCCGATGCGGTAGGGGAAATCGATGAGTGGTTCTTGCTTCCAGACGGACTCACCTTCCGACATGTATCATCCGGTTGTAACTTCCACCACAACGACCCCAAACAATGAGGCATCAAACCAGACCCAGAAGCATGGAATCTGAGAGAGATGTTAGATGGCCTCATCCCAGCACCAGTCCACTCACCGCTATCTTCACCTTCCTGGCGGCGCGGTTTGAATGTCAGATTCTGGTCTTGAGGTTGATTCCCATCAAAGAGGCTTTGCTTGTGACCAGTCAATTGGGGGCCGCATCCGGACAGACTATCAACCCCAAGCCAATATAGCGGGGTGCCTGAGAATGAACGGCAGAGAAACGCTCATCCAATAAACCCAATTGACTACCGGTATATAGCTGAGGGGGGGGGGGGGGGGGGGGGGGGGGGGGGGGGGGGGGGTCATCGATGCCCCCTGATTCCAATTTCTGCTAATGGAACAAACGGGAAGCCTGACATCGGAGAATCATTAGCATTTCCAAGCCAGAATGTGTTTATTTCTGTCGTTGCTTGCTTGTCTTTCCCCTTTGGTTTTCGCCGCATCACCAGATTATTGTCCGCTTCTGGGACCCATCTTCCCGGCCCCGAGAGCACTCTCGACAAGCAGCGCATTCCTTGCCGCAAAGAACAACATCTCCTCGGCTCTCGAGGCAGCCATAGCAGGAACATCCCCTCTCAATGACGTCTTTGACCCTAACACCACATCGTTTGCCATCCAAGTCTTTTCGACGGATGACGCGGAACCCCTTTTCGAATCCTACTATACCGCTCCAAATGTCAACACTTCTGTAGGAGTTAGTGTAGTGAATGAGGATACCGTGTTCCGCATTGGTAGTGGCTCAAAAATATGGACAATATTGTTGATGCTCATCGAACGGGGGGATATGGTGTTTCGCGATCCGGTGGCAAAGTATGTCCCAGAGATCCGAAGAATGAGCACCAATCCACCTGGGAATGAGATTGATTCAGTGCGCTGGAAGGAGGTGACAATCGGGCAGCTGGCAAGTCACCTAGCGGGGATATCGCGAGACTGTGAGTGACTGTATCTGCACAGAACCATCGCTATTTTGCACACTCATACATGCACAGACGGGTTCGTTGATCTAGCCACATTGCTGCCTGATCCGAGTGCAATTGGCCTTCCTGAGCTTTCGGCAGCTGAGATCCCCCAATGCGGTGCGCCAGGCAGCCCTTGTGATCGAAAACGTGAGCCTTCCATCTATTCCAGATGGAAAATGCTGATAATTCTAGGATTTTTCGACGGCTTCTTGAAGAGACACCCCGTCGTTCCGACTGCGTCCGCACCTGTCTACTCAAATGCAGCATTCCAGATCCTGGGATACGCACTGGAAGCAATGACCGGTCAAAGCTACCAGACGCTCTTGTCTCGGGATCTCATTCGCCCGCTCAACCTCACCCGCTCCAGCTACAACAAGCCAGCGGACAGACTTGGAGTCATTCCCGGCGATGTAGAGACCACGTGGTGGACCTACTCACTCGGCGATGAGACACCGTTCGTGCATCTGCTCCATCACTAGACCGTGCTAACCGCCTGCAGTACCGGTGGCCTCTACTCGTCGACCAAGGACGTGGCCACCCTTGGCCGCGCCATTCTTGACAGCCGGCTACTTTCCAGCTCCATCACTCGGCGCTGGCTAAAGCCGGCTAGTCACACGTCCTCACTAGGCCTGGCCGTCGGGGCGCCCTGGGAGACCTACTCATTTCCCTCCTCACGAGTGGTCGATCTCCACGCCAAAGCCGGAGATCTGGGATCGTACTCATCCATGCTTGCTTTGTCTCCAGACCACAAGGTCGGCTTCACCATACTGATAGCCGGCACAAACACACATTGGACGGCTGCCTATCTGTCCGATCTCCTTGCAAACTCGCTTCTTCCCGCGCTCGACGAAGCGGCGAAAGAGGAGGCGATCCTAAGATTCGTGGGATCCTATTTTGCGAGGAACTCCTCATCCTCACTGACCATCACCACGGATGACGGCCCTGGACTGAAGGTCGAAACATGGCTCAATGAGGGTAACGATATGTTCAACACACTTTCATTGCTTGTGGGCGCGTCTATTACGGATCTCAGCGTGCGGCTGTATCCGACCGGACTGAAGGCACCAGGGCGGGTGTCTTTCCGGGCGGTCTTTCGGAATTTGAGTTTGGGAGTCGATGGGATTGGTCCGTTCAGTCAAGTATGCGCGACCTGGTTCCTTGGGGACGCTTTTGTGTATGGAGCCGTTGGGCTCGACGAGTTTGTGTTTGATGTGGACAAACAGGGAAAGGCCGTTGCAGTCGAGGCGAGGGGAGTGAGGATGATCTTGAAAGAGGCAGAACTGGCTATGACGCCTCACATTAGTCTACTGTACCTCGAAGAGGAAGCTGCCAGTCCACGTGTCTGCCGTTGAGACGCAGCATATGCAGGAGAACAATACTTCGACCTGTCCGTTATCGCTTATCAAAAGGAAAAGAGATTGAGCCTGCCAAGGTACTAGCCGCCCCGAATCCCCGGGGATTATCCGGGGTTGTACCACTGTGCGGTGGTTGAGAGAAATGTCATCATGTTGACTGTTGCTGGGAAAACTAGCGATAGTAAGCGATCGATGTGGATTCTATAGTGCCGATTAGGTGTTTAGTTCGAAGTCAATCCATGGTTCTGCGTGAACTGACTCACGGACTCGGGCCAGGTGCCAGAACCATTCCCTAATCACGTCACGTCAGGCATCTAGACTTGGTCCAAGGAATGTCTCGCACCCCACGCACTGTGGAGGATGCGGTCAGGTCGAGTCTGGGTGATGTCTACCATTCCACAACGGAATGTGAGACTGCAAGAGGATCGTGTTGACATGTCAGGAGAAGAAGCTTCATAAGGAAGGGTTCGAGACAACGCAGTCTCATGACAGACTATGTGCAGAAAACCATGAAGTGTGATAGAAGAGGGACGAAAGGTAACTGGCGGTGAGGCCTCGAGGACGGCAGCGGGACCGTGGGAGGGAAGATTGGCTGACAGCAAGCCAATTCCAAGTGGGGGCACACTAACCACTTAGTAGACTAGGTAGTCTAAGGGTCAGGTCGAGATTCCTGAATAATAATAATAATAATAATACTGATCAGTGATCACTCAATGCAGGGGGTGAAGAAGAAAGAGGGGAGGGGGAATTTACAAAGCCCCGCAGTGGGCAAGAGAAGAAAGAAAAAAGAACCTGCGTTGGAAGGGGAAGAACAGGTTCGGTGGGTGAATTATGGAGAACGTTCCCCTCAGACTACGTAGTACTCTCTCTGTATGTAGAAGAACAACTAACAATAACTATAACTACTCAGTATGATCAATGATGATCATCTCCCTCAAGTCTGGTGGTTCCTTGCCGCCGATCCATGCATCCCCCACTGGACGGCACTGCATTGAGTGAAGTACGGATACTCGAGGGGAAAATTGACGCTTCAATGCAACCCTGGCGGTTAAACTGGTTTGGGTTGCCGCTTGGAATGAATGCAGCCTGCGTTCGGGAGGGAAAAGGGAAATTGAGGAAAAAGGGCAAAAGGGCAAAAGGGCAAAAGGGCAAAATGGGGTCTAGAATAGATTAAAAAACCTAAGAACTACCACCTTCCCCCCTCCCCTTCCCAACACTACAGATTCTCAGGCATTTCCATTCTCGTTCTCGTTCTTGTTCTTTAACCTCACGCTCAGTCTTTCATTATTGTTCTATTGTCAGTCTCTCATTTACCTTCAGAGGTTCTGAGTAAAGTACCAGGCACTTATCAAGTATACCAGTACATTCACAGGTCAGTCTGATTGACCCTTTCATTCTCTGCCTTCGTATTGATCGCCGGTCGACTGACTTGCCCCTCTCAGAACCTAATCGACCCTGACACCAGCTGATAACCGCCACACATACCAACTCGAGTACATCAACCAGCTGCCAAGATGATCCCTGCTTGTTAAAGTCCCACCCCCTCCTCTTCCTCGGGGCATGCGTATGCATCGGCTGGGCCGTCATCCTCACGATTTTAAGAGAAAAAAAATCACATGTCAACAGCCCCCAACTACTTTCTCACAAGGAAATCCCGCCTTCCCTCAAGACATGTCTATACCCTCACGCCCTGGCCCAGGCCCAGAGCAAACGTATATTTCACCCGGTGTGAAACCCCCAACGACTATCAAAGATTACCCGACACTGGAGGTCACCGAGATAAGCCTATCGCCGTGTATGGATGCCCCTCATGCTTTGGAGGATAGCAGCATCATCGCCACGCCCAAAAGAAGACGAACCCCGTCGCCATCGTCTCCTGCAGCAACAACCACAAGTACCAAAACCATAAGCTCATCATCGTCGTCGTCGTCTTCTTCTTCGACATCCCGTCATCGCAAGAGCAGTCTCCACAGCCGCCACAGCAGCTCTCATTACTCGCAGCACCGTCGCACCGCCACCGCGGTCTCCATCACCCCGATCACCGACCAAACCACCCGCAGAGAGGATCTCCTAGCCCTGCATCGTGAATCCTGTCGACTATTTCAGCAGCAGCAGCAACAGCAACAACAGAAACAACAACAAACAACACCCCCTTTGACCCCGCGCAATTTGCGCTCCTCCAGCACCAGCTCCAACGCGACGACCACCAGCAACACCAACACCCACGCAAGGGGCAGCGGCGGCGGCGGCGGTGGCGGTGATCATTCGCCGATCTCAATCCACGAAGTGCTCAAGACCCCCGTCCGCGCATCCACCCTCCCGGTATGGGACTATACCGATGAAGTCACGACGACGACGACGACACCCAAAACAACCGTGACCGTGATCGACTGGACCTCGCCGTCCACGCGCCGCCGGGAGTACGAGAAGATCGACAAGGCGAGCAGCGGGATGCGGGGGTTCTGGCGGCGAGTGGCGCCGAAATGGTGTCAGTCGCGGGCTCGTCGGATGCCATTTTTCGAGGAGAAGGACGGGAAGGGGAATTACGGGGGGAGTGTGCGACGGTTCCGAATGGACATTCCGGAGTGATTGATTCCATCTAGCCTTTATTTTGTCGATATTTTGATACCCATAGATTGTCGATCGTTACTTTTTGCTTGGTTAATGCAAATCTTACATCACCTGGACTGCAGTACTGTAGTAACCTGTCTTGGGATTATGTTTATACAGATAAGGCTGACAGCAAGCATCAATCACACCCCAACTTTTCATACTGAAAAAAAAAAAGAATCAGAACGCCAGAACACCGTTCTTTCTCAAGGGTATCATCACATCATCATCACAACAAATCGAAATCATCCACCTTATTCCTGTAGTTCATGATCGTGCGCTTGATCTTGCTGCTATCGACCCAGGTCACAAAGTCCTCCATGTTGCGGGTGATCAAGTACGCGGGGTCGGTGACGACCTCCGTTCCGACCCGAACGTGGCCTTGTTCGATGAATGTGTTGGCCTGCAGCAGATATCAGCACCAGTTAGCAATCAGTTACCAACCAGCCTTATCCCCCTCCCTGCTGCTGGGAAAAAGAAAAAAAAAACCTACAGCAACAACATTCTCCACCATCCCAGACCGGGCCATGAACACGCCCAACCGCCGCCGACAGAACGCCGACACCGTCACCTCGTGCTCGACCCGCGACAGCCCGGCGCCCTGCTCGCGGCTCTGCTTCAGGATCCCCATCCGCCACAGCTTGTCCAGCATGTCGGCCTCGAGCTTGCGGCGCACGGGGTCCGCCGGGTCCAGCTCGCTCAGCTTGTGCGCCAGCTGCCGCAGCGAGCCGCACAGGTTGTTATACTTGCGGTAGTCGAGCGGGTCCTGCAGGTGGTAGCGCGTGCGGATCGTCGACTCGCGGTGGTTGTTGTCCGACTTGTACGTGTGGAAGTCGACCTTGCGGAGGAGTTTTTTCTCGTGGTGCTTGAGGGCGCGGACCATGATTTCGTTCTGGTGTGAGGGTTTTCTTCTCGGGGCTGAAAAGGTGTCTTCTCGGGAAGGTGAGGAGGTAGGTGTAGGTGTTGGTGTAGGTATACGTTGTTTGGTATTAGTTAGTTAATGATGGTGGTGCATGGGTTTCTGCGTGATGAGGAGAAAATTTGGGATGAGCGGTGGGGATATTGCCGGTTCAATTTTGGGGGGGGGAGGGCTTGGCGGTGTGTTGGCGGTAAGACTTCAACTAACTATACGGGGGCATCTCAATGTCAATTCTTCCGTTCTTCTCTTTTGTATCGAAGACTTAATTGGGTTTCTCAGAGCTTATGGTCATCGACTCTTTAGTAGTGGTTACACATATTCATTTTCATCAAGTCGACTTCTACACTATGGCAAGGCCCCCCTCTACATCTGCAGGGACACTATCAGCTTACCCATCACTGCTCCATTGGATTTCATCCATAATCAATGAAACAACTAGACCCAACCAGTCGTGTGACCTATACATCTATGTGCGCTTCTGGACAACCATTCATGCATCGACTATACACCGCATCAAAATTACAATGCACCCTAAACTCCCGGAATAATAGTCCTCAACCCCATGGCAAACCGCTTAATCTGCGCCGCATAGTAATTCTGAAAGCAAGTCGTCAGCACACTTCTCCCAAATCGTTCTTCCAGAAAACATCAAACCTACCGACTCCAACCCCGCGCCAACACCCTTGAGCGGCAGCAAGCGCACCAACGCCGGCACCGGCACGCGCCCCAGCACCAACCGGGCCTTCTCCTCCTCCAGCCCGTCGTCCAGGAACAACCGGGGCAGATCCGGATCGATGGCCGCAGGACGCCCGAGCCCGATGATATCGCAGGCATTCTGCTGGACCGCAGCCTCGGCACCGGCGCGGGTCCGGAACCCACCGGTTAGCATCAGCACCAGATTGGGGAACCGTTGGCGGGTTTCGCGGGCAAAGTCGAGGAAGAACGCCTCGCGGGCGAGGGTGCGTTCACTCTTGGGGGCGGCAGCAGCAGCGTCAAGGCCCATCATCTGCCCTCGCTTGTTAGTACGGTTCTCCACGGAGGTGGAAACCTGGGGAGGTGGAAAACTTGGGAAAGGCAAGGCGCAACGAGAAAGACTGTGTCAAAAAAAACTCACCTCAGGATTCTCATAGCTTCCCCCGCTGATCTCCAAAAAGTCCACCCCAGCCTCCACCAGCAACTGGATCTGCATCATCGTCTCCTCGAAGGTACTCGAGCTGTGATCCGCCGAGTTCAGCTTGATGCCCACGGCGAACTCGCGGGGCACCACCTCGCGAACCGCGCGGATGATGTCCAGCACGAATTTCGCGCGCTTCTCGGCGCTACCTCCGTACGCATCGGTGCGTTTGTTCGTCTGAAGAAGTCAGTCCACACTCCCTGGGTACCCTGCCCCTTGCCCGAAAGAAATGCCACCAACCTTCGCATTCAAGAATTGATCTAAACTCAGCCAGTCAGCAAGCTCACCCACCAAATCCACGGTCCAAAGGGGCGGGGGGGGATGCAAACCAATCAAATATCCATGCGCGCCGTGCAACTCAACACCGGAGAACCCACTATCGGCCATGAGGCGCGCGGCGTCCACGAACTGGCGCACCACACGATCGATGTCCGTCTGGTCCATCTCGCGCGGCGCCGGGAACAGGAACCGGCTGATCCAGCGCGCGAGGAAGCCGTCGCCGCCCATCTGCAGGGGGATCGGGCTCGGGGCCAGGGTGGGCGCGAACATGCCGCGACGGCCGGCGAACCGCGCCGACTGGCGGCCCGGGTGGCACAGCTGGACGATGGCCGGGGTGCCGTGGTGCTGCTGGATGGCGGCGGCGTAGGAGGCCCAGCTCGCGAGGAGGGGCTGCATGGCGGGGTCGGTCTTGTCGGTGTATTCGCCCTGGAGGGCCAGGTCGAAGGGTTGGCCCATGTGGTTGATATCGACTTGGACGTTGCCTGTATACGGAGTCAGAGATCAACCGTAGACGCTGGAGGGATGAAGAGTCAATCGAACCCGTAAGAATCGCCCCCCAACCGCCCTGCCCCCATCGCTCATACGCCTTCAACAAAGTCGGGGTGATCGTATTCTGCGAGCCAGCTAGCGACTCGGCGAGCGCTGCCTATCCACCCACCCTCAGTCATCGTAAGCACTCCACAAAACCCAGACAGCCACAAGAACGAAGGACTCTCAAACCTTCGCCAGCCGATTCGGCAGCACCAAGCCACACGGCATTTTCACGGGCTCACTCAAAACCGACGGCATGTTGGCGATCAAAGCGGATGTCTAGTTTTTTCCAACACAAACCAACGCAAGAGGAAAGGAGAAAAGCCGCCGAAATATACGGAGGCAAAATATTCGGAACCGAGGCACACGGACGGGCAGGTGGAGACACCGGGACTAACAAAAGCCAAGATTTGGCTTGCAGAATGCTTAGGCTTAGGCTTAGGCTTATGCTTATGCTTATCAAGCAGAACTGAAAATTGATTAGTAGGTATGTGGGTAATCAATCATGCCACGAGGTGTATACCGGAAGAAGGAAGATGACGAACCCTCCAGGCTGGAAGATAAGTTCTTTGTGGGGGTGTTAGATTATGGATCCATTGGGGCCCCGTTCACGCCCTTCTTCGTGCGCTAGAAGGTAGTCTACGATTCTCCGGTGTACAGTACACGTCTCGACACGAAGGAGTGTATCTCTTGCGTACAGATTCTCTAGCTATTTTGTGAGTACTGATGGAGCACTACAGATGCTAGGCAGAGTACAGAACAGTACTGTCCAAAGCGTTGCAGATACCCCGAAAATCGGGCTCATTCTTGCGCCGTCAACCCTAACCCCAACCAACGCAACAAGTAGAAAGTAGAACTCAACACATACAGTCCATAAAGTGCACTGTAGCCTGCCCACCAAACAAACAAACAAACACCATTCCAATCTCCCACAAGTCCAATCCACAACCCGGTCACCGAACAACGCACCCCTCGAGGCGTGAGTGAAACTAAACTAAACCCAACCATCTCGGACAACCGGAGAACTCTCCCCCGGAGCAGACTGAGCCGAAGACCACCCCGTCCTGTACACCGGACCATTTCCTCCCGAGCCCAAGTCACCCAGTCAGTCGCCCAGTCACCTCACCCAACCCAGGAATCTACGCCCTATACATATCCCGACGGTCACCCGTCCTCACCGCAGAGACAACAACGCAACACCTTTCACTTCCAGTCACCACTTCGACGGACCAATGATCTCCTCGGCATCGAGATCCCGAGGTCCACAATCCCTGAGCTGTCAGGCAGGAGCGTGGACCACGACTCCACGAGACTAGCCCCGGGGAGGGTGCACCTGCAGCCATTAGAGGGAAAAGTTTATTTGAAGGTGGCAGGGCTGAAAAGAACCAGAAGAGGTGGTCAGCTGGTCCGGTCTAGATGAATCTGGATTCTTTGCCACGAGACCCTACTTGGAGCTGGGGTTGCTGGCCAGAGGCCCAGCATTGAATGAGGTCACAGGTGGATGTGCGCTGCTGCATGGCTTTTCCCCGCATCTCCATTTTCACGTGTGCAGTTGTACAATACAAGCCGTCGTGGCCATGATCATGCTGCGGGGTACAAAGCTGAGGATAACTTATCAACCCCCTCCCTCACACCATGAGTCAAGAGGTTCCTCCCTCGGATGAGGCGATACGATCGCGAATGTGACTACGGTGCATCACATGGAAGCTTTGAGCAAAATAACCAAGCCGAGGTTCGAGAGACGCCTGCTCTGGAATACTCATTCCGATCTTGTGAGAGAAATGTATGGACAGTCTGGAACATTGTGCAGTCATGAATTTTACCCAACCCGAAAACCCACTCACAGTATCTAAGCTAACCAATCCGAGTCCGAAGTCGGTAAGATCCAACACAAATTCGTCATTAAATGGGGCATGGAAGCGGTGCAAGAAGGGGGTATACAAGAAGAATGCATCCATCCAGCTAGTGGATGACATGTGAGAAAAAAAAAAGAATCGCTCCAAAGTCAAGCAACCTGGTCAATCCAGGGATGCACAAGATGAAAAAGACAAACAAGGAAAAGCCATTTACAGCTTAGCATTCTTTTCAGCCTCCTCGCTTAGGCCAGGCAGAGACAAGGCGCTTCCACCCAGGCTGGACAGAATGGCGCCAACTTCCCGCTCCAAAGACAGAACTTCCGTGTGGGCATCGTACATACGGGCCTTGATCCAGGCATCCAGAGTGGCATCGTCCATGTTGCGCAGGGCAGTCTCGCGGTCGACCTTGGCTTCTTGGGCCGCACGGATCACATTGCGCGCCACAACAACGCTAACCTGGCGGATGCGGGTCAAGTCGGGGTAGAGGAGACCATTGTCGATTTCCTCGGCCGTCAGAGCCTTGGAGAGAGCCTCACCCGAGGCATAGATCATGGTGTCGGTGACCTTGACCGCCTTGGAGAGGATAGTACCCAGACCAATACCAGGGAAGACATACATGTTGTTACCCTGGCCGGGGTAGTAGGTGCGAGTCTCACCGGCGGAGTTGGTGAAGCTCATCGGCTGGAAGGGAGAGCCAGACGCAAAAAGCACCCGGCCATCGGTGTTGGTGATAGCAGTCTCGAAGTCACACTCAGACTTGGAGGAGGGGTTGGACAGAGGGAAGACAATGGGGCTCTTGTTCCAGTCGGCCATCTTGCGGAGAATCTCAGGGGTGAAGACACCGCCCATGGTGGAAAGACCCATCAGGATAGTGGGCTTCACGTGGTCAACAACCTGCTCAAGAGTCTTCAGCTGCAGACCGTCGTTGTCGGTCCGAGCAAAGTAGACCTTGTGGTCAGCGAGCTTGTCACCGCGATCAGCAGTCACGAGACCCTTGGTGTCAACCAGGTAGAAGCAGGCGCGGGCCTCATCTTCGGTCATGCCCTCACGGACGAAGAAGTCGACGATCTGCTTGGCAACACCGACACCAGCACTGCCAGCACCGAAGAAGACAGCACGGTGTTCCTTGCAGGGAAGGCCGGAGCGCTTGACGGCATTGATCACACCACCGAGGATGACAGCTCCAGTACCCTGGATGTCGTCATTGAAGCACGTGTAAACGTCGCGGTAACGCTCCAGGGCGGGGAAGGGGTTCTTGAAGTCCTCGAACTGGATGACAATACTAATGGCAGTTCATGTCAGCGTCGCTCTTCCGTATCAGCCAGACGGAATGACTTACCCAGGCCAGCGCTCGGTCAGAGCAGTCATCAACTCGTCCATGAACTCACGCTCCTCATCGGGGGTGACCTTGTCACGGCGACTACCCATGTACAACGGATCTTCCCGGAGAGCCTTGTTGCTGGTGCCCAGGTCCAGAGTCAAGGGGAGAGTAGCCTCGGGACGAATACCGGCACATGCGGTGTACAGCGCCAATTTACCAATGGGGATACCCATTCCGTTGATGCCAAGGTCGCCGAGACCAAGGATGCGGGAACCATCGGTGATGACAGTGATCTCGACGTTGGGCTGGGGCCAATTGGCGATGACAGCAGCCAAGTTGCCCCGGTCCTCGTAGCTCAGGTACATGCCTGCGGGGTGCATCGTTAGCGCCCGGTTTCACGTCGTGGACAGGGATCCAGGGATTACTCACCTTCCGGCTGTTGGTAGATCTCAGACCATCTTTGGCAAGCTTCTCCAACGACAGGGGTGTAAATGAGGGGAGTCAATTCCTAAAAGCATGTGAGTCAACGGGTTGTTTTCGTCCACAGCGTCGCTTTCCGAGCTTACCTTGAGGTGATCCGTGACCAGACGGTAGAACAGGTGGACATTGTTCTTGCGGAGAGTGCTGAGGTAAAGGAATTTGTCGATAACAGTTTGCTTTAGAGCCAATTGAGCCAAGCCTGCGAGCCTGTTAGCGATGTCGCGCGACCAGAGGCCGAGTTGCACATACAGCGAGTCTTCTGGGTCTCGTATGACTCCGCACGCGGGGGCGTCAAGCCATAGGTGCGGAGATATTTGCGGATGTAGGCAGGGTTGGCGGTGTCGAAGTTAGACGACTCGCTAATTGAGGCCATGGTTAGTCCACTGCTCTGCTCGGGTTGTGTGCTCCCGTTTTGCTGCTGCTGCTTCTTCTTCATTGTTGCACGATTGATGGAGAGTTGGCCTATCTGCCAGGTGTCATGGAGTTGTCACCAGAAAGATTTTACTTACGCGGGAGCGGGATGGCTGACGAAGGAAGTCGCGTGGACGGGTCGGCTTTGTGCGGGAAAGCGAGCCATGGTGGACGGCTGTGAAGTGGCGAGAGTAGTTTTCAAACGAATACCAACCGGCGAGGTCACAATGCGAGAGGAGGAAGAAGAGGAGGAGGAGATGGAAGAGGATGACCGAGTCAATCGAATTGAGGAAGCGACAGGCCGTCTGGCTTTAAGTCCTTGAGGCACTAAACGCATTGAGCGCCCCTGAGTCAAAATCCACCGCATTCCGAAGTTCAACCACAGCAGGTCAGTCAGCGCGCACGGTAGTTGTGATCTTCTGACGAGGCCGTCGCCAGAACTATGAACCAGGACCAGGGGATATTGTTTTAGGGATGACAGCGATCGGGAAGAATCGGGAGGCAAAGGGCCAGTAAGGGCGACCGGGACCGGTCCGGTGGGTATCGGGTCACGTTGGGTGCATGGCAGCGAACCGTTTCGATCGGGTGGGAAGATGGGGCCTGGCTCCGGTCGAAAATGGAGATACTGAGCAGAATGGATCAAATTGGGGGATACGAAGCTTTGGGGAGCGTCGGGTGCGAAGAGGATTGGGTAGAGACAGCGTGGAAGTCCGGGTATGGAGAAAGGTTTCAAGCTTGGAACGGGAGCCTTCGCCGAATGCAGCGCAAATGCGGAGTAAATGCAGGCGAATAAACGTGTCCAGATTGGAAAGGAGAAAATGGAGCTGAGACTGTCAACTGAAAAATATGCGGTATTTCTTCGACACCAGGACAACGACTACGTTGTAGGACAGAGTACGGGAGTAAAGCTCTACACAGTACCTATGCACTTCGTATGCACCGTGGTGGAGGATTCCATTGATTGTTGGGAATTGCAGATGGGAGGGAGTTGATAGGTAGCAGACTGAAGTATACGATGTACTTGTCAGTCTGTCGAAGCGAGGTTTGTTGTTCGCCAACAATAGACTCCGGACTTCGTGACAGACAGAGTTAAGTTACAGTACTCGTATCGAATCCTGCATGGATTGTTGATGATCATTCTTGAGGATATTCTCGCATTTTCACCACAATTGAGGTGGATGAAAAGCGAATAGGTGGTGAATAGATGGATGAATACCTAGGTAGCTACTTGACTTGGTACGGAGTACATGGACCATCTCGGTCCAATCCCGATATACCTTTCCCGATCCTTTTTTTTTCTGCTTCTCATTTTTTCTTTTCTCTTTTCTTTTCGTTTTTTCCTCCTTTTTTTTCTGCCTCTGATATCTCCACATCGGGAAAACTAAACCCAAAGCAGCAATAGACCCAAAAGGGTCCCGAAGTGGATCTCCACCACCAACTCATGTGGCAGAATTTCAGGCTCCCCAAACATCAAACAGTCCAACAGTCACCATGACACAAAACCCAAGCTAAACTGCCTGAGGAAGGATTCTGGACCGGATGTGAATCTCTGGATTCCCCGCAGCAAACGCGGCCCGGGTTTCTCCTCATCACTGCGCACTGAGATTTGCTCTCTGGTTTTTCTCCTCATCTGGCTGCAGGTACCGACAGCTGAGCTTACACACACAAACACAAAATGACCACGACAGCTCGGTAGTCAACCCTTTTTCAAACCATCTGTCACCAGGAACTGCAGTGCAGACAAGACGTTACCTGTACGGAGTTGTCTACTGGCACATCCCAATTCTGCATGCAGGCTCTACAATTGGGCACACGAACAAGGGGAACGCATCAATATCGACGATCAGAATGCGCGAATAAATTTGTGTGTTTGCGTGTTGCCCCCCCCCCCCAAATTCTTCTCCAAATATACCGAGTAATGACCAAATATAATGAGTAATACTCCAAATTCCACACATGGGCTGTCCAATGGCATTCTCCAGCCGCAGACACAGTTGTTTTGCCGCGCCGATCGGTCCCGACCGATGGAAATATCCGATGCAGTAAGCAGCCAGCAGCTGAGTCAGCCCGTCTCCAAAATAGCAAAGTCTCGGGTGAGATGTGGCCATTTTCGGCTCGGATGGCTTGGCCTACACCAGTTAGACTTGACTCGGTCCTGCAAAAGTCCCTCCTTTGAGTCCTTTCACACTATAATCATACTATAATCGCACTAGAATTAATCTTAACACGCTTGAACCGTGCTGCTTCCGATGGAATTCATTGTTCGTGGCAGGCAGTAGCCACAGTCCAGGTCGAGCCTCGTTCTTATTATAAATCTGAAGGAGATTGCGTCTTGGGCGACGATAAAGATTCGGGTTGTGCGACGGTCCATCGACTCCATCGACTCCATCAGGATCCCATCATGGATCAAAAAGTTCAACCCAGCTTCGCACGGCATTTGCTCTCGTCACCGCCTACCCTGCTCGAGCTATTGGCGGCTTAGCCGATGGAGACGCCTGCAGATCTAAAACCCTGGTCTCTTTTCTATGGGAAGCTCAGTGTACTCCGTAGGGCGAAGTTATTCAGGAGCTAGTGAGTGGGCAACGGGTTACTCCGTCGACCTTCATTCCCAACGCTCGGGGTGGAAAATCACCTGTCCCCTCACTTTTCAAGGTTCAAACTTCAGGCTGAATGTGTAGGCGAGATGGACAAAGCACATCCCTAGGTTCCCTCTCCACGCCATGTTGCACATAGCTATCCCTACCGCGACCGGGTTTACCCACTTGAGCAGGTCGTCGTCGTCTCCCCTTCCTTCGCCCTTTTCCCCCCCCCCGGATTCAAGATGCATGGGTCACAAAGCTTGATCACTGCTGATCATTCGTTTCTTCGCCCTGTATTGGATTTCTCATGGGAGGAAAATCCCTTCGTGCGGTTCCAATATATACCTCATATGAGAGGTCTTTCAGGAACCCAGTAACTCAGCAAGATTCGACCTGCATCATGGATCCCCGACTGCTAACCTGTCTGTCCACCATCACTCTTCGGCTTTGGAACCAGCCTGGGAATCTGCAAGCATGCGGTGACTCGTAAGGTAACTAACCAACTAAACTGCTCGCCCGCTCTCTCACCCCCCAGTGAAAAATAAATCGCTCATTGCGTTGTTGTTATTGTTTTCTGATCGGCCTCTGGTATGCGCGACGCGATGACGGAGGTGTACAGCTTGGTTGTGGTGGCTGTCACCTTGAACCCCTACCCTGTATGCGGTGCTTCGTACAGCACTGTATGTACACCTGACTATCTGCCTTGCATCGCTGCACGGACAGAACCCCGTCATTCCATGGTTTCCCTACTGATCTTTCCTCGGGTGGCCCTCTCGTGCCCTGTAAACTTCTGTGACAGAGAGGGATTTATTTCCTGGCTTGCGGACAAGTGACGGCAGGGGTTTCCTTTTCTTGTTTACGTGATGCGCTCTCCGTCGTGTTGTCTCGAGTTCAGTCTGTGTTTATACTTTAGGCAAATGGGAACGAACTCGCAGTGGTGTTCAGGGTGAAACTCTCGGACGGGGATGGTAGCTCGACCACAACCAAGCAGGATAGCCGTTGCAGGGTATATCTCTGGACTAAGTCAGTTGACTGCTGAGATGAACGGATTGTGCCATGTTACCGACCTTCAAGGCTGTCATCAACCATGGGATTAACTCTTCCGATCAAGGATTTGAGATGAACCACCCCAGAAAACCGCCTTATCGATAAGAGCGATAAGATACCGCCCGACAGGTCACGTGGGATACTGATAAAGCGGCGAGGAAAGGGAGCGGTGACGCAAGAGTGATTGGACCACCACCAGCCCGTGATCGATGATGATTCCATGCAACAGGAATCAGCCAACCCTGGAGCTGCTGCCATCGCTTTCCCTCTTTTCCTACAATTCCCTCCGTTTCATCATCCCTTGAATCAGGGACTCTGCGGTGGTATCGAACATCCACCTCCCCACCTCCCTCTGTCCCTCTCTACAAGCAAGTTGATCTACTCTTCCTGTTTGCTGAACCCATCGCAACCATGCCGCAAGGGGAGACCGAGCCCCTCCTCCCTCGCTATGAGGAGGACACGACCCTCCAGCGTCGCCTGCATCAGAAACTACACACCTACCAGATGATCCGGGCCCTCTCGGATGGTTACCTGCCTTCTACGGAACAGGTGATTGTCAATCTCCGCACTCTGCTGGCTTCGGATGTGCTCTCCGCCCAGACTCACGATGTGGGCTCCGTGGGTCGTCAGATCATCCGCGATTGTCGCCTGTGGATTCAGGTCTTCATCGAATTCCTGAAGGAGAAGAACGAGGATGACAAGCTGCAGGAGTTTCTGTGGCGTCTGGCGCGATCTCGCGCCTCGATTGACCCTAACAAAATCCAGCAGCAGGCTCGCCAGAGCAGGGCGAGAGCCGATACCCAAGCAGGTCAGTACACATCTCACTTTGTTTTTTTTTTTCTTTTTCTACGCCATGGACGCTTTCCGTAGAGTCAAGATGGGAGCTAACTCTACGGCCGCAGCATACGACAGTCTACGTACCGTGGGAAGCCTCCTGCTGACCAACTCCGACTTCCGTCTCTTCGTGGATGATTTGACCACTGTTGGACGGCAGATCTTCTCCGACACGGCCTTTTCCTTGTCCAGCACATCTCAGCAGATTGGCGAGCAGCTGAAACCGTCCGAGGAGGAGGCCAAAGCGGTGCAGGGTGCAGGTGCAGATGAAGGCCATACTCCCACGGGTGAGGACCTGCGACACGAAGCGACTGAGGTGGCTGAGATTGCCGGGAATGGCCTGGCTCGCACCGGCAAAGATGCGGTCAGTAGTGCAAAGGAGCACCTAGCCGGCCGTGAGAAAGAGGCTCTGCTGTACCGACTGAAGCGGACCGTCCTCAAGCTCAAGGATCGTACGGACTACTCGGACTCGATCTCAACCCTGGGCCAGCTGGTTCGTCGGTATGCTCAAGCCTACGTGAACGCTGCGTCGGATGTAGTGACGGCGGCGGAAGAAGATGTCGACGTCAATGCAGACCTCAAGCAGGCGATGCAGCACTTTTGGATCTTGTTGCAATCGTTCGGTGATGCCGAAGAATGGAAGGCCCTGGAGAAGCGCTTTGAGACGGTGTTGCAGCATGCAAACTCCGACCCTGAGTTTGAGAAGTTCCTCTCGGAAACCGGCTCCGTCGTCCAGGAGATGCTGACTGATCCTAACTTCTTTGACAATGCGGAGGAGAAATTCGATGAGCTCAAGGAAAAGTCTAAGGAGGTCAAGACTGAATCACGGTTCAGACAGGACGTCGATGCTTTTCTGGTCCAGGCCAAGCGAGCTCTGCGGACGGTGCCCAGCGACAAAGCAGTGTCCAATTTAACCAATGCAACCCAGAAGCTGTACAAGGATATTTGGGAGGCCTATCATAGCCGTGAGAGCCAGCTGCCGGCAGACTTGCTCGAATGTTTCCTGCCCCTGGTTCTTCGTACGGTGCAATTCATTCCAATCCCTCGCCTGGAGATCTCCGCGCCCGAGGTTGACTTGCTGCTGGAGAGCTTGATCCTTGAGCCGGGCCATACGGTTAACTACTCGTCCTTTCTTCCCTATCGGATGCACGTGACCACACGCAACGATATCGATATCGTGAAGAAGCACTCCAAACGGACCGCCACCGACATCAAAACCACATTCACGGCGACCATCAACGGATTGAATATCAGCGCGTCTGAGTTCGGGTACTGGATCCGGACCCATTCTGGGCCCTTCCTGCGGTTCAACGATGAAGGTGTCGCCAGCTTCTTCCTAGACAGGCGCGGGGTTGACATCTCACTCGACATCGAAGTCGGCCGAGACAGGCTGGAACAGATCTTCACCCTGCGCGGGGTCCGCGTTCGGATCCACAAGCTCGACTACAAGGTGCATCGCAGCCGGTGGAAGTGGCTGCTCTGGCTGACCAAGCCCTTCCTCAAGCACCTCGTGCGTCGAGTGCTCGAGAAGAAAATCGCGGAGAAGATCGTGCAGGCGGCGTTTGCCCTGAACCGGGAGCTGGTGTTCGCCCGCGAACGGCTGCGGGCGGCCCGGATCGCCAACCCGCAGGATCTGGCCAGCTTCGTGCGGGCGGTGCTGGCTCGCTTGAAGGCGCTGCCGGAGACCGACGTTGAGGCGCGGATTGGACTGGAGCCGCCGGGTGAGGGTGTGTTCCGGGGAGTGTACGCCCCCGGCAGTCTGGTCAAGGTGTGGAACCAGCAGGCGCTACGGGCGGAGGAGGCTATCGAAGAGGGCGATGAGTATCGCACTCTGGCGGGAACCTGGAGAAACGAGATCTTCGACGTGCCCGTTCGTCGGGCTTAGGTTTTGAGTGAGGTGCTGAGTAATGTTTTGCCTTGATGGGATATGAGATTGTGCAAGGGGAGAATGCCATAATGTATAGCCACTGGTCCGTTAGGCGTTTCGGTTAGTTGGTAGCGATGAGTTTTGCATTCTGTACTTTGCGTTAACGAATTGAATGAACTGCCTCCATTTATTCTAGTAATAATGGACATTGAACAGTATGCGTATGCGCATGAGCAGTAGTTACGTCCACGTGACCCGGCCATCGGCCGAACAATTGGCCCGGGGGCGCGTTGCGGCCACCTAATCAGTAGAGAAGCAACTGATAACAGCACTGCAAAACAGCCAGTCTGGCAGGAAACTAACAACCCACTCCCTCTCCCTCTCCCTCTCCCTCTCCCCCCTGTGTCTCGCTGCTTGAGATCTTGACTGATCTTGAGGGACTCGTCAATTGCCCTCGTGGCACTTACTTTAGACCTTCTTTTGTCACTTTATTCCGTCCACGCTCGCACAAGTCGCGAGGTAAATCCCGACTGCCATACTTCGCAGTTTTGGCCGTGGGCTATCGCAAACCGCTCGCAAACCAACAGACCACATACGTACCATACATACTCTCACACACCCACTTCCGGCTGTCAGAACCATCACGACCACCAGAAAAACACATGCGACACACCGTTCCTAACAAGGATTGAAACGACGAAGGAAGAAGCATCCACCATCAATCATGCTCCCCACAATGCGCACCCTCTTCGTCCTGGTGGCCCTCACCCTGTGTCTGGTGCAACTCGCCCTCGCAGCCGACGACTACTACAAGACTCTGGGGCTGGACAAATCCGCCTCGGAGAAGGACATCAAACGCGCCTACCGGACCTTAAGCAAGAAGTTCCATCCGGACAAGAACCCGTAAGTTCTGCGTACCCCCCCCTTCCCCTCCTCTCTCCCTTGGAGCTGAGCTCTCCACCACCCCCACCTCCTCCACCACCACCACATAAACTAATCACTGTACACCTCCCCCCGAGAAAAAGAGGCGACGACACCGCGCGCGAGAAATTCGTGCTCATCGCCGAAGCGTACGACATCCTATCGACGCCGACCACGCGCAAGATCTACGACCAATACGGGCACGACGGGATCGAGCAGCACCGACAGGGCGGGAGCGCCGGGGGCGGCCGGCGCGGGGGCAACGACCCCTTCGACCTGTTCTCGCGGTTCTTCGGGGGCGGGGGCCATTTCGGGCACGCGCCGGGCCACCGCCGGGGGCCGGACATGGAGCTGAAGGTCGGGCTGCCGCTGCGCGACTTCTACAACGGGCGGGAGGTGTCGTTCGGGGTGGAGAAGCAGCAGATCTGCGACGCGTGCGAGGGGACCGGGTCGGCGGATCGCGAGGTGGTGACGTGCGACAAGTGCGCGGGCCGCGGGGTGGTGATCCAGAAGCATCAGCTGGCCCCCGGCATGTTTCAGCAGGTGCAGATGCATTGTGACAAGTGTGGGGGCCAGGGGAAGATGGTGAAGCGGCCGTGTCCCGTGTGTCAGGGCCACCGGGTCGTGAGGAAGGAGGTGGAGACGTTTGCGACGATCGAGCCGGGGATGGGCAAGGGGACCCGGATCGTGTTTGAGAATGAGGCGGATGAGAGTCCGGATTGGATTGCCGGCGATTTGGTGCTGATTCTCGAGGAGCGCGAGCCCGAGCTGGTGGCGGAGGGCACCGATGGCACCTTCTTCCGCCGGAAGGGCAGGGATCTGTTCTGGAAGGAGGCGCTGTCGCTGCGCGAGGCCTGGATGGGCGAGTGGACCCGGAATATCACCCATTTGGATGGCCATGTTGTGCAGGTGGGCCGGACACGGGGCCAGGTCGTGCAGCCCCTGGCTGTGGAGACCGTCAAGGGCGAGGGCATGCCCTTCTACTCCGAGGGCCATCTGCATGAGTCCGACGACGAGGACGAGAGCCCCGGCGATTTGTATATCGAGTACACCGTCATCCTGCCGGATGAGATGGAGAGCGGCATGGAGAAGGACTTCTTTGCCCTGTGGGAGAAGTGGCGCAAGAAGAACGGCGTCGTGCTCGATCAAGACAGCGGTCGTCCCGTGTCTCAGCCTCGTGCTGTGAAGGATGAGTTATAATATATTTGGGTCCAAAATGATTTGCGCAAACTTGCTCGCATGGATGAAGTTACCAACCACACGCTCTACTTTTCTTCATTCGGGCGGTGCGCTAGATAGACAATCCAATAGAACATATCCCGAGACACACAGTCCTTCGTATAATTAAGGTGCAAAATTGCAACTGCATGCTGCAAGGCTACGGGCATGCTATAGCTACGAGGCTAGCTTTCCTGTCCAGAGACTCGACACCTTCGAGTAAAAGATCACACGTCTGGCCCCGTCATCACCCCAAAAAGCGGGTCAACCGGCGCAAACGGCGCAAACTCTCCGCTACTCCATAAATCCCCCGACAGCCCCTCCAGAGTCTCGAAATCCGGCATCCAGAACGGGCTGTCCTCCTCCAGGTCAATCCAGGGGGCTAGCTGCAACGCCATGCGCACGCCGTGGTCCTGGCTGGTCGGGTCAACGGAGACAGCGGGATTGGCAGCGGGCTGCTGCTGCTGCTGCGCCGCCGCCGCCGCCGCTGGCGTCCCTCCTTCCGTGGGTCGCGAGGTGCTGGGGTGATTGTCGCGGAACATGCCAGCGTTGATCCCGCCGCCGCCGATGTGCTGGGCCGTCATCAGCTCGGCCATGCCCACCTTCTTGGAGGCATCGGTGCCTTCAAGCTTCTCCATGGCCGCGTTGACGAGCAGCTCGAAGGCGTCCCGGTACTTCTTCACCCACTTGGCGCGCTCGCCCATGACGAAGAGCACGGTGGAACAAGCCCGGATGTCGTTGCTGAGCTGCACGGACCAGACGTCGCTGGTGTGGGTCCAGAGGGCGTAGAGCAGAGTGATTCCGGCCATAAAGACGGTTTGCACCGCCAGGAAGGAGTGGCCGTATTCCAGGGTCTGGTGAAGTCGCTTGTGCGTCTGGCAGGTGTTTCCGGCGGCTCGCAGACAGATGTGGTAGTAGGGGTCTGTGAGGGGCAGGGAGGGCAGGAAAGGCTGGATCAACAGCCGTAGAGCCCGGTGGTAGTGTAGCATCGGGTAGTCGAGGTCGGATCCACTGAAACGGCGCGTCGCGGACTGCTTCCATTCCTCCAGTTCCAGATATAGACGGTCCATCTTGGAGCGCAGAGTGTGCAGCGGGCGATCGGCTCGGTAGATCTTATGTTGGATTCGCGAGTCAATCCGACGGAGTTTCATGAGGTAGATGGCAAATGTGAGGCTTGTGATTCTGTCCATCGGCGGGGATGCAGTCAGCACAGCCGGATCGTGCACATCGTCGTCGACATCGAGTGGTAAAGGCAGGTCGATGTGTCGGTCCGCAATGCTAAAGGGTCGGCCCAGTGACATCGACACCACACGCTCGAGGTAGTAGACTGTCCAAAACAGACGGCGTCGCATCTGCGCGGTGAACGAATCCAGGTTGTTTTCATTTGCCTTTCGGTGCAAACCCAGGTCGATGGCGGTCCGCATCGCAAGCCCGACCATGTACCACATGCCCTGACTGGACGCAGATCGAAGATGGTAAACCACCATCAGAGTCATGGCTTCGATGTTCTCCACCGACCGTGGCTCACACATTCTGGGGACAGTCTGTAGTGCAGTTGTATAGAATTGCTGCTAAGGAGGTTAGACTGATACATCAGACCCAACAGGGCCAACTCACCTCGGGAAGAATTGTAGCCAGATTCTCACTCAGCTGTATAGTCGTCGCTCCAATTGCATATACGAGATACAATTTGAAGATCCCGAATCGCTCCGCCCTAGTAAGCTCTTCGCGTGGAGTCTTGGCCAACCGCCAGCGGTCTTCGTGCAAGCGCCATAGCTCAGTCCGATCAAGAAATGGATACCGCACGTGTAGTCTCGTCAGATAGGCGCGCAGAATCCGCGACCCCAGTTCATCGTTCGGAGGGTCCGTGGTCTTCGACAACAACTCCTCCATGCGCAACGGTCGCGCCCGCTCTTCTGAGTTCTTGTCTCCCGTAGACGGTTGCGGCGGAAGTCCTGTGATATTGTGACTGGGCAGCTGCCCGGCTCGTGTCCCGGGCGGGTTCCGCGACGATGACAGAGCTTGGTTCCAGACGGTGGCTTGGACCATTTCTCCGAGGTCTGCGGCCAGAGACAGCCCGGAGCTGGATCCCACATACGCTGGGGCTTCCGACGAGTTGAGGGCGAGAAAGCCCACTATCTCCCCGACAGCATTCCGGTCAAGTTCGGTGGTCGACCCAGCCGGTGTCGGGGGATTCTGAGGAGAGAGGAGTGCCGCGACAGGATGAGCAACGTGGCTGCTGGCCCGGCTGTCCTTGGGTCTTGAATCTAACTGCGACTCCAGATAGTGTATCCGGCTCTCCAAAGCCCGCGTATATCTGTAAGTAGAAGATTAGCATATCCGCAGCGAAGCATGGCTATCCGGCTTATACTCATTCTGAGATCCGTTATCATTTCGCACGGAAGCCTTGTCGCAGTTTGCTCCGGCTTTGTGGCAGTTGGAGCATATGGGATAGTTATTGTCGCACTGTGTGGTATGGTCAACGTGACTCTTCTTGATAAGAGCTGACCAGTATCATACTGCAGTGACTGACTTTCTGCTTCCTCGTTTTACAGCGAGTGCAAGCGGTCCTCCCCCGCTTCCGAGGATTATAATCCCGAGAGGGAGAAGACGCTCTTGTGTGGGGGGAGACTCCCTCAGTCTCCATACCACTCATTGTGTCATTGTTGCCACCACCACCACGACGATGTATGAGTATACTTAGACTGACGTCGTACGGTTGGTGTCGGAGGGACGGAGTGATTGTCGGAGAAGTGGGGTGAACAGAATGGCGTCGGCCCTCCGAAGTCTGCCAAGACGTCGCGTCGCGGTTCTTTCCGCCGCTAAGCATTCTTGCTCATTTCTGTTCTATGTCTGTGTCTGTCTTTCATTCCATCTGTATTGTACGGATCTATTCAACTAAGCGCCACAACGCGATATCCTCTTTCGTCCCTTGGCCCCTATTGTTCTCGTTCCTTCTTTTCGACATCAACAGGATATGTGATAGAATGACCGTCCTCAACTGACTCAGGT